CGAAAATTGCTTCCGATTCCCACAGAAGGTGAGGAGGTAGATAGGGGAGAATAAATTTTCTTAGTAAGTTCGCATTATGAGGGTGTCTGATTTTTTTTTCCTGACATTTTAACGACAGCCCTTAAAGTAAGAGGAAAAGGAGGGAACTTGAATGACAGAAAAGAAAAGGCCTGTTGAGGAGGAGCATTTTTGCTTAATACTATAAAACTTTGGAGAATTTAGAGCCCAAAACATCCATTATTATGATAGCAGGTTGATGGCCCGAGAAGAGAGGGAATTTTATTTAGGTCAGGGGCATCTTGCACAAGATTCTGGCTGTGCTCAGGCATTAGAAGATAAGGCAGGCAAATAATGGATTGCAGCAGGAGGAACAGCTCTGCAAGATGGCCCTGGCCCTGATCTGCTCCTTCACTCCCCCCACGGCCGTCCAGCAGACCTGCTTTGTTTTTTGTCTTCCAATCACCTGCCCTTATATTTAGGCAGCAGAAAGTCCAGTGTTACAAACACAGCTCTGCATTCAGCCACAGTGTGGCACTTAAAAGAGCTTTCTAATTCTTCCTTGATGTTTTCCACTACTTTTCAGACTCTTTTTAAAAAATATTTATTTTATTTATTTATGCATACAAGAGCTGGGGTGTAGGCCAGAGGCAGGGGGTTGGCAAGGGTGTGTGTGAGAGGATTCACCAGAGACAGCGTGGGGAACAGAACAGGCAGATTGACTGTAATACACTGCTGAGGGGAACAGTGGCGAGACAGGAGAGGTCTGCTGCACCATGTGTGTCAGCTCCCTGGCTGGGGATAGAATTCACTGCCTGCAATAGCTTTATAGTGCTGAGACTTAACCTCTTGCACCATCAGGGAGGCGCACTTTTCAGACTCTGAATGATCCTTCCAGAACCTACTGTGGTGCCTGGGCACAAAGTCGATGTTCAACACATGCTTGATGAGTTGATTCAAATTTGGAGAAAAATTGGGAGGTAAAGTCAAAGGGGAAAAAATGAGGGCTGTTTCACTAGTTCACTTTCTTTTTTTAAAGCTTTTTATTTTTATATTTTTAAGATTTTTATTTATTTATACAAGAGCTGGGGTACAGGTCAGAGGCGTGGGAGGGTGAGAGAATTCACCAGAGACAGAGCAGAGAGCAGAACAGGCAGATGGACCAAAAACACCAAAGACCCGGCCGAGGGAGCGGTGGGCGAGGCAGGAGAGGTCTGCCACACCATGTGGGTTTCTCCCTGGCCAGCCAGGACTTGAACCCGTGCTGCAGAGGCTGCAGACAGCTTCACAGTGTGGCTTTCAACCCGCTGAGCCACCAGGGAGGCCCCACTAGTTCACTTTCTCTGTGGCCCTGTTCCTAGCAGCCAGGACTTCCAGTGAAAAGGCTCAGCCCATTTCATCAGATTCTTTAGATCAGCTTCTGCCTCTCTGGTTGGGTTAGGGCCCCAGAGGAGTAGTAAAGGGGCCATTTTTTTCCCTGAAGTTTCCCTGCAATAATAACAGTAACAGTTGGGTGGCAGGTACTACTTAGAAGTTGAGGCATTTCCCCTAAGATCTGAGTCTTACTTCAGCAGAAAAAGCCAAGGCTGTCTTGGTCGCAATGACACCATTTGTTTTGGTGATAGGAAGTCCTGTGATTTTTCTCACCAGCGTCCCCGAGAATGCCACCTTTCAGCTATTTCTTTTTAGCTTTTAGCTGCCCTCCCCTATCCAACCTAGTTTGCTAAGAGGCTCAGAACTTTCTTCTCTGCTTCCTGCCTCCCACCAAGCTCAAATTCTAGCTCTTACCAATCTCTAGGACAGAGCAGACATAATGTGAGAATTGGGGTTGAACTCACATGTCAGAATAGAAATAGGTATAAAAGCAGGACCCTTGTTACTACAAGGGGGTGGTAGAAATAATTTCTTATCCATAATGGGTGGTGCTATGGGGAGGATAGTAACTAAGCGTAGGCTGTTTGTTTTAATATTTTTTGATGAAGGTAAATTATTTATTAGGAACTATCGGTGGCTATATTACAAGGACCACAATGATTCTTAGGAAGGTCACATAATAATAATGTTCAGGGCCTCCCCGGTGGCGCAGCGGTTGAGCGCTGGGTTGCGAAGCTGCCCATAGCCTCTGCAGTGCCGGGTCGATCCCCGGCTGCTCCCCGGCCACCGGAGGAGGGTCCCACATGGCGCGCAGACCCCTCCTGCCGCCCGCTGCTCCCCCCAGCAGTGTACTTCGGTCCTTCTGCCTGCTCTGCTCCCCGCTCTGGCTCTGGTGAATTCTCTCAGCCTCCTGCACTTGTGACTGTACCCAGTGCTTGTATAAATAAATAAAATAAAAATAAATAAAAAATATATCTTTAAAAAATAATAATAATGTTCAGTTAATTATAGCTGATATTATGTGTGTATGTAATAGTATATGTATATGCCTGTCATATCCAACAGACCACTGGAACACTCTCATTTTATTTTATTTTATTTTAAGATTTATTTATGTATGCATACAAGAGCTGGGGTATAGGCCAGAGGTGTGGGGGGTGAGAGGATCCACCAGAGAGAGTGGGAAACAGAACAGGCAGATCGACCGAAGCACACTGCTGAGGGGAGCAGCGGGCGAGACAGGAGAGGTCTGCTGTGCCACGTGGGTTGCTCCCTGGCTGGCTGGGAATTGAACTTGTGCTGCAGTGGCTGCGGATTGCTTCATAGGTTGCGTCTTAACCCTTGCACCGTCAGGGAGGCCCCCACTCTCATTTCAGAAATGCATTTGGTTCAGTGACTTTTATGGCGTGATAGTGTAGAGATGTGCATCTGTGTTTGGGCTATCAAGTTATCTGAAGGTCTTCCTGGTGGCCTAGAGGTTAAGTCTCAGCACTATCACCACTATTGCATCCTGAGTTCCATCTCCGGCCAGGGAACAAACCCAAATATGGGGCAGCAGACCTCTCCTGTCTCTCCTGCTGCTCCCCTCAGCAGTGTATTGCAATTAATCTACCTGTTCTTCTCCCCATTCTGTCTCTGGTGAATCTTCTCACCTCCCTGAATCTCTGGCCTACACCCTATGCTATGTTCTTCTATGCCCCCCCCCAAAAAAAGTTGTCTGTAGCTTATTTTTTCCTTAGCTTCAAAATAATCCCTTGGTGTTACAAGATATATGTGTATTACATTAAAAAGCTGTCACTTCTGAAGCTGTCATTAATGGAATATGTGAATACATTTGAGTAAATTTTGCTGCTAATATTTACCAGTGAGATAATTATTCCCAATAATTCTCAACAGTATCCCAAGCAATTAATAAAGTTCTTACAGTATTTACTGCTACTACTACATGTTATAGTGCTATACTCCTTTTTCCCACAGACATTTTATTTTATTTTATTTTAAATTTAAGATGTATCTATTTATACACACAAGAGCTGGGGTACAGGCCAGAGATGCAGGGGGTGGGGGTGAGAGGATTTACCAGAGACAAAGCGGGGAGCAGAACAGCAGACAGACTGAAATACACTGCTGAGGGGAGCAGTGGGCGAGACAGGAGAGGTCTGCTGTGCCATGTGGGTTGCTCCCTGGCCAGCTGGGGATGGAACTTGTGCTGCAGAGGCTGCAGATTGCTTCACAGTGCGGTGCTTAACCCCTTGCACCACCAGGGAGGCCCTCCCACAGACATTTTAAACCAAAACAAACTCCATGTTTGCTCCCCCTTCCCATTAAATATTGGAGGAAAGAAAATATATGTATGAATATTTTTTTTTAAGCAAAGCAGCACAAAGAAAGGAAGCCAAATGGATTAAGGCCTTGATATCCTATCTCCAAGCTGGCAAGTTGAACATGTTGAATCAAGTGCAGAATTTTCCATTCCATTCTTGGGGAAAGGAGGAAGAGAAAGGGCAGGAGCCGGGCGAGCACAGAGTGTACAGTACTGATTCCTTAGGACCCTTCATATGTGAAGCCCTGGGAGGCAGTGAGGGGGACTGCTCTGGGGTTTTCCCCATCTGCCATTCTTTAGTCCTTGGGGAGATGTTGGAGGAACGGTGTCCAAAGGTACAGCAGTGTAATGCAGCCTGAAATGAAAAGCAAAAGGGTCTGATTTCTTTCCTTTTGATTGATTGGAGAGGCACTCACTCAGAAGCGCCTGTTACCTTATTCATCACACAGAGCAGTACGGTTGGGAAAATCACCTCAACATAGAGTTGCCACAAAGGAATGAGGACTTGAAGTAGAAGCTGAGAGGCCTGAGTTTATAACCTTGGGTTCACCACACAGCTGATATTTGGGGGAAACAATTCTGAGAAGACTGAGGGAATACACTGAGAAAATCAGGGGTTAAGAAGTGGTTTTCACAAGAAAGGAGTGGTTTTCACAAGAAAGGAGTGGGGTGGGGGGTGCTTTCTGGGGTCTCAGACAGAGAGGGGGGGTGTTTGACAGACGAGATTTACACCTACCATTATCTTGGGGAGTCCACACCTGCCATTTGTAGTGTGTCTCCTAAGTGTTAGGCTCTTTGCATAGTTATCTCATTTAGTCCTCACTACAGCCCAGGTAGAGCTGCATATACAGAGGAGAAACTCAGGCCCCACAGAGTGATTTGCCCAAGGTCACTCAGCTGGGTAATGGAAGCCACAGTTTCCTTATCGGTAAAAGGAGTTAATGACAGAACTAGATTCCACCGTGTAGCAGGTTTGTTACTGAGTCGCTTACGCTGGATGTCGTAATGAGTTACGCAGAGGAAAAGCCCCAGGGACAACCGGATCCACTGTAAAGCAAATTTTGCCTTTTTCAGACTTAGTCGGGTTCCTGCGCCCGGAGCCCCTCGCGCAGGCCGCGGCCGCCCTCTGCCAACGAGGGCGGGATTGCGCCCAGAGCGCAGTTCCCCGGAGGCTAGGGCGCGCGCTGGCCTGTAGAGGGCGCCGCCGGCGTGCAGAGTAGTTCCGCCGTCCCTTCTTTAGGCACTTCCTGTCCCATCTCTATGATCCTTCCGGTCATACGTCATGAGAAGGGCCTGGGGTTTTGAATTTACGGTAAACAAAAGGGACGGACGCTGACCCGGAAGTGAAGCCTGGAGCCGGGCCGGAGTATCTCCGAGGGCCCCCTGCCTGGTGGCGGGGGAAGCCGTGGCGATGGCTGTGGCTGTGGCCTTGGCTGGAGCCGGCATCGGCACGGAGCTAGGCCCCGCCGAAGAACTCGCCAAGCTCGAGTATCTGTCTTTGGTGTCGAAGGTTTGCACGGAGCTGGATAATCACTTGGGGATCAACGACAAGGATCTGGGTGAGCCCGGGGAGGTCTCTGCGGTTGGGGTCGAGGGACGCGGAATGAGAAAGGGGTTGGTGACTGAATGTGTGTCGCGTGTCTGTTTGTCTCTCTGGTCTCTCACAGAGACTTGGGCGGCCGAGAGCCCTCCAGACCCAGCTGTTCTAAATCGTTTCCCAGAGCTGTCAGTGAATCCGGAGCGGCCATCGCTGCTTGCTTTTTTTGTTTCGTTTCGTTTTTGTTTTTCACCCTCAGATAACTAATGTCAAACAGCAGGAGCAGCCAGCGACAACAGCTGTGTAATGATAATGATGTTGATAATCATGGTAGGGCATTTATTGGGTTCTCATTATATGCCAGATAAATGCTTTACATACAATATTGATCTTCACACTACACCGTGAAATAGCGTTATGTGTTCTAGATTAAAATCACAAGGCCCTAAGTAATGAAGTAATCCTCTCATCAGGCGTGAGCCTGGTCTGGAATTCAAGTCTCTTTAAGTCACTGTGCCTTTCACTGTGTTCTTAACCTTCCATTCTATACTGTCTCTGAAACACCAGTTATTAGATGTTTTTGGGCAAACTTCATGTGGAGAACCCAAACTGAGGAAATGGAAAAGGCGAGTGTGCTCAAGCTAAGGCGCTGGGCAGGTGGAGTCCCTGTGAAGACAAAAGGATGAATGTGGTTGAGATCAGAGTGGAGAGATTGACCTTTGATAGGTGTTGGTGTACTTCATCTATTTTAACAGGAAGGAGGACAGAGAATGTGGATGTTAGTACAATGGGTTTAGAGATTGGTGGTAAGAAGATGAGGAAGAGAGTTCCATGTGACTTTGATATTCTAAATGAAGATGAAGTCATCAATTGGAGGGATGGAAGGAAAGGGGACAGACAGGGAAGTTTTATGTATGACCTTGGGTAAAATACTTATTTTCTTTGAAGCTGTTTTTCTCATCCAAGAAGTGGGGATAATAGTATGTTCTTCATAAGGTTAGCAAATAGCACCTAGGAAGATGCCCTGTAGTCAGGATATTTTAACTCACTTTTTTCCTGCCTGCCAGGCAAAATGTGTCCTGTATGAATTTTCCTCAGACTCTCCTTCTTTTAAATGATAGTGAGGTGACATTGTTGTCATTTTGAGATTTGAGCAGTATGTTCTCTCATTTAGCAAATAATTTCTTGAGCTAGGGGATTAGGACTATAGTAGAGAATAAGATTTCTGGGACCTAAGTTTCTTTTTCTTTACAGTAGACCCCTGCTTTACGATACATCTACAGAAGAGATCATAATATGAGCCCAATAATATTTAGGTGTTGGGTAATCCTTTCTAAAATGGCATCATTTGAAAATGTTGACACATAACTAAGTTTATATAAGACTGACTTATACAGTAAATCTGTTACAGGGCAGGGAGAGGGGCACCCCAGAATCCCCAAACCTACCTGCTCTAAATAGGTTCTGCCATCTGCCGCATCAAGACAAAACATATAAAAATTTTAATGGAAAGGAACTTTAATATAATTAGTGTGCAATATAGAAAAGACAAAGAATATAATTTCCATATCAAGCACCCGAAGTTACCCATCCCCTGGTGGGTAAAAGTCCACCCAAATGGGATTCGCCCAGAGCAAGGCCCAAAAACCACAAGTCTAAAGCACCTTCTGGTGGGGTCCCATAGAAAAGGGTCAAAAACAGTCAGACATGTCTGGGAGGAAAACAGCAAAATCAAAATCAAGATAAAAGGGCCTCCCCGGTGGCGCAGCGGTAGAGTGCTAGGTTGCGAAGCTGCCCGCGGCTTCTGCGGCGCTGGTTCGATCCCCGGCTGCTCCCCGGCCACCAGAGGAGGGTCCCACATGGCGCGCAGACCTCTCCTGCCGCCCGCTGCTCCCCTCAGCAGTGTACTTAGGTCCTTCTGCCTGCTCTGCTCCCTGCTCTGGTGAATTCTCTCACCCTCCCGCGCTTCTGACTGTACCCAGTGCATGTATAAACAAAACAAACAAACAAACAAATAAATAAATAAAATCAAGATAAAAGCTGCCATTGTTAACCTCCCCACGGGTCTCTCACCCACATCTGTTTCAACCAGTCCAGGACCAAAAAAGCAAGTGCACCTTCTTCACATGTCTCTCTGCTCCATGTGCCTCCTCCAGGTCTCCTTCTTGCTTTCCATCCTGCTTCCTTTCTTCAGTCTTCTCTCCAGCTTTTTCTTCTCCCTGTTCAGCTCTACCCTCCCTTGGGTGGGGCAGGGAACCTGGAACCTCCCTCTTTTCTGGGGACCACCCTCTTACAAAACTACAAATATTTATTATAAATCATAACATCACACTGTTAAACACAGAATTAGAAAACCAGTGACATTAAAAATACTAGATAATGTGATAGATGGCATTGTTTTATTGAAACTAAATTGCCAGGGTTGGATTTAACAACTAAAAGATAAATATATGCGTCTTTCTACTTGATTCTTTTGATTATGACCTTCATGGATTATCATTTAAATCGGTATTGTTATTTTACCTGTTTTTAACAATGAACTTGTTTTTACTAATCTATTACAACTAATTTATGGACACCTCAAATGTAATTTTGTATTTCACATCCTGATTAACGATGGCTGCAGTGTGAATGTGCTACTGACTACTTTGGTGTACTGACTCCTTTTGAGTATGGCACATCTAGCCACGTGGTTTAGTTCTTCCACCACATTTTTTTTTTAAGGTTTATTTTATTTATTTACAAGAACTGGGGTACAGGCCAGATGCATGGGAGAGTGAGAGGATTCACCAGAGACAGAGTGGGGAACAGGTAGACTGACTGAAATACACTGCTGAGGGGAGCAGTGGGCGAGACAGGAGAGGTAATGCTGCACCATGTGGGTATCTCCCTGGCTGGCCAGGATTGAACCCGCGCTGCAGAGGCTGCGGACAGCTTCACAGTGCAGCGCTCAATCGCCTGTGCCACCAAGGAGGCCCTCTCCCACCACATTTCTCTAAAGAATATGGGCTCTGAGCTCAGATTGCCTGGGTGCTAGTCCTGGCTCCACCAACTGTTATTGGGTAGGTCAGCATCTCAGACTCTCAGCTTCCTCATCTTTAAAACAGGGCCAATACTGCTACCTACCAGTGTTGAGGATTGTGGTGAGGATCATGGGGATAACCCATGTGAAGCACTTAGTAGGGTGCCTGGCATGTTCACAAAGTCTTTAACATATTTGAAACTGATTTCTTGCTCAAGTCTTCTTTTTTTTTTTTTTTTTTTTAAGATTTATTTATTTATTTATACAAGCACTGGGTGCAGTCAGAAGTGCGGGAGGGTGACAGAATTCAGCAGAGCCAGAGTGGAGAGCAGAACAGGCAGACTGATGATACACTGCTGAAGGGAGCAGCGGGCAGCAGGAGAGGTCTGCGCGCCATGTGGAACCCTTGCACGGCGGCCGGGGATTGAACCGGCGCTGCAGAGGCTGCGGGCAGCCTCGCAACCCAGCGCTCAACCGCTGCGCCACCGGGGAGGCCCTCAAGTCTTCATTCTTGTTATGATTTCTTTTTCTCATTTGCAGCTGAATTTGTGATCAGTCTTGCTGAGAAAAATACCACCTTTGATACTTTTAAGGCTTCTCTGGTCAAAAATGGTGCAGAGTTTACGGTATGTGTCAAAACACCTGTTTAATTATAATGTCATATTTTGATAGGATTTAATATAGGTATTGATATAGAAAGAAGATAATTTGTCCATACCAGTCAAATAAACCATTAAAATTCATAATGTTTTCTTGCCATTAAACGATGGTGTGACTCCTTTCAAGGTAAATGAGGCAGGATTTCTATCATTAAGTCTTAATGGGTGTTTACGTTCCTGTTCTGTGAATCAGGGGCTCATACATGAACTAGGTTTTAGAGGGAGTTCTAAACCATGGACAATAAACTGGTTGAAGGGAATTAACTGACTTTACTCCCCCAAGAGCTTAAATATCAGCTTTCTCTGAAGCCACTAGGTTCATGCTACAGCAGTTTGACACACTATGTTTCTATGTTTCATTGTTCTAAATAGTTAAATACAGGTGCATAACCACCCTTCGCTAAAGGACATCCCTTTTTTAAGTGTAATTAAGCTCTGATTCAGGTGCTGACAATTTTTGTTTTGTTTCTCTTCAAAGGATTCTCTTATTAGTAACCTGCTGCGTCTCATACAAACCATGCGGCCCCCAGCAAAACCTTCCACAAGCAAAGGTGAGTGGAGCTGTGAGTTGAGCTGAGGTTCCAGAGTGGTCTAGGTTGTGAACATGCTTTAAATTGCATTTGTTTCCCTCTTAGCAGCTGCTGAGCAAATAAATATTCTAGTAAAAATTTTCAGATAACTTAAGACAAAATTAAAATTATAAGACACAATAACTAAATGAGTACAAATGCATTCTTCCTGCCAGCACGTACCCCTGTAATTTGTTGAGGGTTTTATAATCAAGGTCATTAGAAAATTAAAGTGCATTTGTGGTAATGTGTGTGGGTTATGTGTAGCAAAATGCCGGGTTTTGTTTTGGTTTGATGCAAATCTAATGTGGAAGTTATTTTGTTAACCATTAACAATATTAAATATCCTTTTTTTTTTTATTCTTTCATGCTCTTTAATGAAACAAGATCCAGTTGCTAAACCCAAAACTGAAAAAGAAAAGCTGAAGGAACTCTTTCCAGTTCTTTGCCAACCAGACAACCCCTCCGTTCGGGTACTGATACCATTTTGAGAATATTTATACTATATGTGCATCTTCCCCAACCCCAGCCCTTTTTTTTGTCTTATTTTTTTTCTGACTTTAAGTTTGCCTTCATTGTTGTATTTTTCAAAATGAAAGTGTTTGCTCACTCCCTGAGCAGCCTCTGCCATGAATTGTGTTGGAAATTTCTGCCTTCCTCAACTGCTTTTGCATAGGTGGTCAGTGATGTAGGGAGGGGCTGTCAGAATTGTAGAGGCACCTGATGTAGATTCTTGAGTGATTTTTTTTTCCCCTCTCCTAACTTTTCTGGGCTCTGCCCTTGTAGACCATGCTGGATGAGGATGATGTGAAAGTTGCCGTGGATGTCCTAAAAGAACTGGAGGCCTTAATGCCCAGTGCAGCAGGCCAGGAGAAGCAGAGAGACACCGAACACCGGTTTGTCCTATTTGTGTGGGTTTTTTGGGGTTTGTCCTGGATGTCCTGCCCTTTGGAAGTTTAGGATACTCTAATAGTTGAATTTTGTGGACCAGCCAAGCAAGTTTACAGCATCTGTACTGGCCATGCATCCTATGCTTGAATCTGTTTTCACTGCTCCCTGTCAAGAGTATTTATGCTGTAAATCATAAGATGTACAGAAGATAGAAAGCTGGGTCAGGAGGCTGAACATGCTTATGGCTTCATCCTTTATTGGCCTGCAGGAATGTCATGGTTACTGAAACGCTAATTCAGTGCCACCCTTAGAGGGCACCTACCATATGCATGGCTCTGTGCTGGGTCCTTGGGGACGCAAAGATGAAAGTGGCCTGGTTTCTTTTTCAAACAGGTGTTTGTTGATTTGTTAGAGACAGGACAAAGAAGAAGAAGCGGAGCCGAAGCCGGAGCCGAGATCGAGACCGAGTCAGGGACAGAGATAGAGACAGAGACAGAGACCGCAACAGGGACCACAAGCGGAAACACAGGTCCCGCTCTCGGTCACGTTCCAGGACCCGGGAGAGGAATAAAGGGAAGTCTAGATATCGATCCAGGAGCAGAAGTCAGAGTCCACTCAAAGACAGGAAGGACCGAGACAAGTACGGGGAGAGGAATCTGGACAGATGGCGGGATAAGCATGTGGACCGCCCTCCTCCTGAAGAGCCCGCCATCGGGGACATTTATAATGGCAAAGTTACCAGCATCATGCAGTTTGGATGCTTTGTGCAGCTGGAGGGACTGAGGTAGGGACTGGGGCTCCTCTTTCACACCAGTGATGGGCAAAATTTCTTTTATTATTTGGGGTTTTCACATGGGTATGGTAAATGTGACACTTTAGTCAAATCAGCCTCACCAACTTGTTAGAATTTGATTTTTTGCATTTCTTCCTTTCTCTGCCCTCAGGAGATCTGTCCTTTTGCTATTTCAGACAGATAAGAATTTTTCTTGCCCTGTGGTCTCACCACATTTTTTAGTTTCTCTGGGAGAATAGTAAAACTATTTTATTAATTGACCACTTTCTTGATACTTTCCTCTTGAGTTTAAGACCATTTATTTTTATTCCTTTCTCACGAGGGTGAACATTGGTTGGGGAAAAGGTATTTTTTAGGAATGCTCCAAATGTCTTCGACTCTCCCTCAGGAAGCGGTGGGAAGGCTTGGTGCATATCTCCGAGCTCCGGCGAGAAGGCCGTGTGGCCAATGTGGCTGATGTGGTGAGCAAAGGCCAGAGGGTCAAGGTCAAGGTGCTGTCCTTTACTGGGACCAAGACCAGTCTGAGCATGAAGGTGGGTGAGATGCCTAGCCTCCTTCCATATCTGATAGTCAAGGAAACATAAGAGGACAGTGAGTTAGTGTCCTTGTTTTTGTACCTTAGGATGTTGATCAAGAGACTGGAGAAGATCTAAACCCAAATCGACGACGGAATCTTGTTGGGGAGACCAATGAGGAGACCTCGATGCGGAATCCAGACAGACCCACTCACCTTTCCCTTGTCAGTGCCCCTGAAGTAGAGGATGACTCCCTGGAGCGCAAGCGCCTTACCCGCATCTCTGACCCAGAGAAGTGGGAGATCAAACAGGTTGGAGCCATTCCTTTGGTTTTTGTCACAGAAATGTTATATGCTGGAGTTCCAAAATTGGAAATGCAAGGCCAGTTAATCCCAGGACATAGAATCTCTTTAACAATGGGCTCCTGCCCCAAACCTCAGTTATATATTTCCTCCTATATTATTCCCTGTACCAGCATGTGTGTCTAACCCCTCATTTATCACTGTTTCCCTTCCTCCTAACTCCTTTCAGTTACGTCCTCTGGATTGGCAGAGCCATTCACTTTTATGGCCACATGGTCATTCAACACAGAGCATGGTGGTTAGGTGTGCAGGCCTGGAGCACGATAGCTGGGGGTGACTTCTGGCCACTCTCTAGCTGTGTGATCCAGTTACTCTACCCCTTTGTGGCTCTGCCTCGTCTGTAAAACAGGGCCAGTGGTGGCAGCGTGGGGCTTAAATGAGTTAATAAAAGTGATGCTCTTAGGTCAATGCCTGCATGTGGTAAGTGCTATAGAAGTGCTCTGTTTTCATCATTCACCAGTAATGATGAGAGTAAACATGAGAACCAGTAAACATGAGAACCGTGGGTGTGCTGGGCACCATGTAGATGCAGGGCTGCAGAGATGGTAGTTTACACCCTAAGGAACTTGGAGTGGAGTGGAGTGGAGGAGACAGGTTGAAACAGATAATTGTGAAGGTTTGTATATCATATAGCGAGTGTGCAGAGTGCTGTGGAAACAAGGGAAGGGGCAGATAACTGCCTGGGTATGAGACCTCTGAGCCCATGCTTTTGGGCACCATGTTGTCACCCCCAAGGATGGGATATGTGATGTTTGAGGTCCTGCAATCCCAGGTCAAGATTAGGAAAAATTCCTGGTTTCTTATATGAAACCTTTGTATTAGCTGCCTTGCAAAAGCAGAATTTTAATCCTAGCAGGTTACAGATGTTACCTTCTGTCCTTTGGTTAGATGATTGCTGCCAATGTCCTTTCCAAAGAAGAGTTCCCAGACTTTGATGAAGAGACTGGCATCCTCCCTAAAGTGGATGATGAAGAAGGTAAGTAGCCACTTGGACTGAACAGGATAATGCATTGGGGGGATAATTAGCAAGTTGAGCCCCTGGACTGGATGGTTTATTTGTAGTTTTACCCAGTGGTTATGAATAATTTATTCCTTGAGTCTCACCACTCATCTCTCAAAAAACAAGGATCGTTCTATAATGGAAGCAAGAAAATTTACTTTTCTGGTAAATGTTTACATATTGTCATCATTGTTGCCTATAACAAGTTTTGAGAACATAAAAAGTTATAATCGTATATTGGGGAGTACATTTGATCTCAAATTCTTAGTAATTGTTTTCAAAATCCTGGGTTGGGGCCTCCCTGGTGGCACAAGGGGTTAAGTCGCAGCACTATGAAGCTATCCCCAGTATGAGTTTGGCCAGGGAGCTGACCCACATGGTGCAGCAGACCTCTCCTGTCTTGCCCGCTGCTCTCTCAGCAGTGTATTTCAGTTAATCTGCCTGTACTGTTCCCTACTTTGTCTCTGGTGAAGCCTCTAACCACCCCCCACAACCTCTGGCCTATACCCCAGTTCATGTACACATAAATAAATAAATCTTTAGAAAAAAAGAATCTTGGATCCAAATAGATTATCTTTGTTTGCCCTGAAAGCAACCTTTAACTCAGCCCATTAATAGTTTCTTAAAATTGTGAAATAAATTCTGTAAAAGAGCCATTCCTAATTTATATAACAAAATAAAGGCATAGCTACACATCTATCCCCCAGCTTCAGTAGAAGCTTATAAACATCTTTGAAGCTACTACATACCCCCATGATTAAATCTTCTTTCTCTTTTTGGTAACCACTATGCTAAATTTTGTGTTAGTCTGTCTTTGCTTTACTTTGGTATTTTGCCACTAAACATATTGCTTAGTCTTTTTTTGGTCGTTCATCATCATTCTTTGGATATTTATCTATGTTGTATTTTCTGGTTTTTTTTAAAGATTTATTTATTTATGCATACAAGAGCTGGGGTATGGGCCAGAGGTGGAGCGGGGGGTGTGAAAGGATTCACCAGAGACAGAGTGGGAAGCAGGACAGGCAGATCTACTGAAATACACTCCTGAGACGAGCGGCAGGTGAGACAGGAGAGGTCTGCTTCACCATGTGGGTCAGATTCCAGTGCAAACGTGCTGCAGTGGCTGGCAATAGCTTGATAGCACTGAGACTTAACCCCTGTGCCAACAGGGGGGCCCTGTCCATTTTACTTTTGATGGGCATATGGGTTTTTTATCTTTATCTTTATGAATAATATAATTATGAAATTCCTGTATTTGCCTTATTTTTGTTATTGCCTGTTAAATTCCTGTTATTGCCTAAATAACACCTTATTTTTTCCCTAAATACATAGAATTACTGGGTAGTGAGGAATATGTGTGTTCAAGTTTCCAGTTTCCGTCCAAATTGTTTTCTGAGGTTTTTGTACCAGTTTATACTGCTGTTTAAGTGTGAGCTTTCATTGTTACACATCCTTGCCCACATTTGGTATTGTCCAACTTAATTTTTTTTCACTACTGTTTTGTGGGTCAAGAGTTACTCTATAGTGAAGTTGGATTGTAAATATCTTAATATCATTTTCCACAGACTTCTTTTGAAAGTAGCTCTGATCAGTTTTTGGACTGGAGCACAAATGCCCTAGAAGTGATTGGGTGTGGCGCAAATAGTTGCTCGTATTGGAATTTCCTGCGTTGCTGTCCTTTTGACCTTGGGAGCTATCTTTGACAGAGATTGCTGGTGCCCATGAAAATGACTAGTTTTGGTGAAAATGATAGGTTATTTTTCTCTTGCTTTTGTTTGGCTAATTCTTTTTTTGGTGGGACTTCCAGATGAGGATCTTGAGATTGAACTGGTTGAGGAAGAGCCTCCATTCCTAAGGGGACACACCAAGCAAAGCATGGACATGAGCCCAATTAAAATTGTTAAGGTGAGAAATGTTGGAACTTTAACCTAGAACCTAAAGTTCACTCCAATGTGAACTTTTTTTTTAAGATTTATTTATTTATTTATTTATACAAGAACTGGGGTACAGGCCAGATGCACGGGAGGGTGAGAGGATTCACCAGAGACAGAGCAGGGAACAGAACAGGCAGACTGATGAAACACTGCTGAGGGGAGCAGCGGGCACGACAGGAGAGGTCTGCTGTGCCATGTGGGACCCTCGCTGGCTGGCCGGCTGGGATCAAACCAGCACTGCAGAAACTGCGGACAGCTTCACAGTGCTGCGCTCAACCGCCTGTGCCACCAGGGCAGGCCCTCCAATGTGAACTTCTTAGAGTAACAGTTTTTCAGAGCAGGTTATTAGATCTGTGTAAGCAGAACTCTGGCCACAGGAAGCAGTCCTAACTGTAGCTGAAGCTCTAGGAGGATTAGCTTAACAAGTTAAGTTAATAGCCTTCACCTATTTGATTTATGAGCTCTCATTTTAATGTGTTTTGGGAGGAAGCAGAGATAAATATCACTGCCTTTGCCAGGCCTTATAGCTGGAATCATTACCTTGAAGGTTCACAGGCAGCTTTGAAGGGTTCATTTGACCAACTGGGGCAGATCCTCAATAGAAAGCACTAGCTGTAGAGCAATGAGAATTCAAGCAAGAATTCATGGAATAGCTACAATAAAACTTTGGGAATGGAAAAAGAATCTTAAAGGTCTGCAGTGCAACCACCCACGCAATGGTAGTAATCTACCTGTGTGCCCTCCTGCAGTTACTCCCATGTGTTTTCTCTCACACACCTGACATTGTGGTGGCAGGGCTTTATCAGCCCCTGAGGAGGCCTATCCATCTTTACCTGGATTTGGTCATTAGTTTTTCTTTAGGAGGAGCTGAAATCTGTCATCACAAGGCATCTACAGTGGTCTAGCTTTTAGTTCTTGGGACCATAAGGAGAATTCTTACCTTTTTTAATGTCCTTTATCCAATTAAAGATAGCAGCATCCTGTCTCTCTTGGGGTTCTCGTCTTGAAGCTAAACAGCTCTAATTCCTATAGTGACTTATTGTTGTCATCATTTTCTCCAAGTATTCTATCTATAGTTTATCAGTTTTTTTATCATGTGGTCTGATAGATTGTATTGAGTTTTTCTTCTTAGATTCAAGTGGCTTAACATCTTACATTTTATTTCCTACACATGTAATGCATTTTAAAATCCCATTCTGATGTTTCTTTTTCCTTTGCTGCATAGAACCCAGATGGTTCTCTGTCCCAAGCAGCGATGATGCAGAGCGCTTTGGCCAAAGAAAGGCGAGAACTCAAACAGGCCCAGCGGGAAGCTGAGATGGATTCTATTCCCATGGGACTCAACAAACACTGGGTTGATCCTCTGCCTGATGGTAGGACCCTTTGGGATGTGGTGTGTGTGTACTTTAAAATTCAAGCACATGAGAAGTTGGCACGGCCAGCACATACTGAACATTTAACTCTGGCTTCAGTGATTTGGTTTGCCCCTCCTGCTGAAGTATGTTGTTGTTGTTTTTTTTAAACTAGATGTTTAAAACCAAAAATGTTTTAGTAATTTTGGTAAGAATATTAGCTTGGCTGAATTTTCCTTCTAAATAACAAAATTTTTTATTCTAAAGATAATATAGCATTGAAACTTCTTTTTTCATATAATCCTTTGTGTAGTAAACAATTAACTGTTGGATATAGTCATAACAAATACTTACTAACTTGTTAGGCAGCTGGGGATACAGTTATGAATAAAACAGGATCCCTGGCATTATGAGGCTTACAGTTTAGTAGAGAAGATGGATATGAATTAAGTAATTAGCAAATAACTAATTAAATTGTGACTGATACCATGTGAAGAAGTATAGGTACTATGGTTGGCTGTGGTGGGTCACTTTCCTGGGAAAGTTGGGACCTGAAGGATAAATAGAACTTAGTCTCTCAAAGGGGGATGAGGTGGGGCCTAGGGACTGTGTTCCTAGCTGAGGACTGGCCCTGTGCGGGGATTGTGAGGTGGGGAAGCAGACCTGAAAGGAGGTCTGTGCAGGTGGTGTACACAGAGCAGCCTGTGAGGGGGTGGGCGATGAGGTGTGTCACACCAGGACTTTTTTAGTGGCATTAGGAATTGTGTTCAATTAAAGCACTTTGGGAAATACTAAGTTTTAAGCAGGGGAGGTTTGCATTTTCAAAGGATTATTGAGGGCCCCTCAGAATGGATTAGAGGGGGCAAGAGTAGACACCTGAGATGAATCAGGAGGCTTTTGTAGGGGGTGGGGGTGGCTTGAGTGTGGTGGGAGCAGGTAGGGGGATATACCTGAGAAATACAATTTCTTGATTGTGTGGGAGAGGCAATGAGGTAGCTTGAGGACAATACCGAGTTTCCTGTTTTCCTTCCCAGCGGAAGGCCGGCAGATTGCTGCCAACATGAGAGGCATTGGGATGATGCCCAATGACATTCCTGAGTGGAAGAAGCATGCTTTTGGGGGCAACAAAGCTTCTTATGGGAAAAAGACCCAGATGTCAATCATTGAGCAGAGAGAGAGCCTGCCCATCTACAAACTCAAGGAGCAGCTGGTCCAGGTGAGAAGCCCCTTTATGATGTATTGGTGTGGGGAGCAGGGTGTTTTCAAAAGAGGGATGACTTTTATTATTTTTTTATATTAATTTTTTTTACATCATTGTTCATTTTTAAACAATATTTGCTTCCCCCCATCCCCTCAAGTGTAGACCCCATAGAGTTTCCTTCACTAATGCACCCATGCACCATTACCTCAGTCACCCTGTGCTCCTCCCTCCCTCCCTCTGAGAAAGAAGGATGACTTTTAAAATGAAATTAGGTATGTGCATATTTGAAGTGGGTTTTTATTTTTTTTTAGATTTATTTATTTATGCATACTAGAGCTGTGATACAGGCCAGAGATGCGTGGGGTGAGAGGATTCACCAGAGACAGAGTGGGGAACAGAACAGGCAGATTTGACCAAAGTACACTGCTGAGGGGGGCAGCGGGCGAGACAGGAGAGATCTGCTTTGCTATGTGGGTTGCTCCCTGGCCGGCCGGATTGAACTCGTGCTGCAGAGGCTGCAGATTGCTTCACAGTGCTTTGCTTAACCCCTTGTGCCACCAGGGAAGCCCCTGAAGTGGTTTTTCCAACAGAGATAGAAAAAAGCAAAATATTTCCAGCTATTTAAAATATGTGTATAAGTCTATACATTTTTTTCTGCATGGGGAAGTAAATCTGTTTGAAATGGGGGACCCTAGAGCAGTTCAAGTGGGTGGAGTCTTGTGTCACACGAATCAACAGCTCTGATCAGTAAGAAAAATGGGGCTGTTTGGCTAGCAGTGCCATGTTGGCAGGGACTTCACTTTGGGTACTTATTTCCATATTCTCAAGATCTGATTTTAAGACTGCCAAACCTTCCCGAGCAATTGAGTTTACTAATTTGCAGCAAGTGGATATACAAGCAAGTGCAAATATATGTCCTCACACACTATGTTTGATATGTACTCTGTGTGTTTCTAGATGGTGACATTATATACATTGTTCTGCATCTTGCTTTTTCCCCTTAAAGATATAGTTCAGAGTTTGTTCCCTGTGCAATGTGGGTTGCTCCCTGGCTGGCTGGGGACGAACCGGTACTGCAGTCGCTGGCGATAGCGTGATAACACTGTGTCTTTAGCCCCTGCACCACCAGGGAGGCCCTTTTCCTGTACTTTAAAAAATTTACTGTTGAATTCTTCAACCACATGTATGTAATACTTGAAAATACTTATTATGGTATCAGAGATATCTGGGGGGATATCTGTGGTAACTAATGGCTTATGCTTTCAGCTTCATCTTTGTTTTTATGAATGTAAGAAAGCTAATAAATTAAGAAAAGTAAATTTGTGTTTTCTAAAGAACACCCAAACGTTGAAAGTTTAAATCTATCATACATAGGGCAATTAAGATAAGAAAGAACATCGCACATAAAAAATCACCACTGGGCCTCCCTGGTGACTCAGCGGGCTGAGTACAACGCTGTGAAGCTGTCCACACCCACTGCAGCACTGGTTCGATCCCCGGCTGGCCATGGAGATTTCCACATGGCGCAGCAGTCCACTCCTGTCTCACCTGCTGCTCCCCTCAGCAGTGTACTTCGGTTGCTCTGCTTGTAATGTTCCCTGCTCTGTCTCTGGTGAATCCTCTCACCCTCCTGTGCTTCTGGCCTATACCCTAGTTCTTGTGTAAATAAATAAATCTTAAAAAAAAAAAAGTGAGATCCTTTTTTAAAAAAAAAATCACCACTAACATTTTTTTCTATGCATGACTAAAAATAAATGAAACCCTGGTTATAATCTCTCCACACGTATTCTGTTGTATCTTCTTCACCTAAGCTTGAATTATTTTACTACAGAGTAACTTATGGCAAGTTCTATGACTGTATTTTTATTTTCTTGTTTCAGGCTGTCCATGATAATCAGATCCTGATTGTTATCGGAGAGACAGGATCTGGAAAGACAACACAGATCACTCAGTACCTGGCGGAGGCAGGCTACACTTCCAGGGGCAAGATTGGGTGTACCCAGCCCAGGAGAGTGGCAGCCATGTCAGTGGCCAAAAGAGTGTCAGAAGAGTTTGGTTGTTGTTTAGGACAAGAGGTGAGTGGAAGTGAAGAAACACCACAAGAAAAATGTAAGGGCCCAGATCTCTAGCTCAGATTTTTCTTCGGGGGTGGGGGGTGGGATTTCTTTTTTGTCATTATTGATCTTGTCAAGGTCAAGTCCAAGGCAGATCTTACTATGAGGAAATCACTGTGTGTCTTGGTCAAAAATGTGCAAAGATGTACAAAAACGTTCTTATCTATTAAGATTATGGATAATAGTCTAGCTGGGCTGAAATCTTGCCTAGTGATTGCACAGAGGAGAGGTTCATATCCAAGGGTTTCAGCTTCTGTTCTGCTTTAGGTGGGCTACACCATTCGATTTGAGGACTGCACCAGCCCCGAAACAGTCATCAAGTACATGACAGATGGGATGTTGCTCCGAGAGTGCCTCATTGACCCCGACCTCACGCAGTACGCCATCATCATGTTGGATGAGGCGCATGAGAGGACGATTCACACTGATGTGCTTTTTGGATTGTTGAAAAAGGTAACCAGGTCCTCTTTGGTGGGCCTCTTCTACCTGTTGGGAACTGAATTCTGGGATTGGGTTTGTGCGGTTGTTCCTTTAGGATGGTGCTTTTTGGTGAACCACATTGCCTTTCTCTTTAGACAGTTCAGAAACGACAGGACATGAAGCTGATTGTCACCTCGGCCACCTTGGATGCAGTGAAGTTTTCTCAATACTTCTATGAAGCTCCTATCTTTACCATCCCAGGCCGAACATATCCAGTGGAAATATTGTACACAAAGGAACCTGAGACAGATTATTTGGATGCCAGCTTGATCACTGTCATGCAGATCCATTTAACAGAACCACCAGGTAGAGGCAAAGGGCATTTTTTCCTCTTAGGCCAGTATCCTGAAGTGGGTATCTTTTGTGCTTATCTTTTTTGTGTGTGTGTGGGACCTTCGCTGGCAGCCGGGGAACAAACCGGCACTGCAGAGGCTGCGGGCAGCCTCGCAGCCCAGCGCTCAACCGCTGCGCCACCAGGGGAGGCCCTGCGCTTATCTTTTTAAAAATACCTTTTAAATATTGGTTTCCCTGTAGGTCTCAGGCTTGCATGTTGTAAATAAAAGTGTGCAGGGCTTAAATGTACCTATTTGAACATAGACACAAAATTTTTAAAATTAAAAAACAAAACAACATGGAAAGCTAAAAACCTTGATTTATTAGAGGTCAGAATATGAGTCTGTTTCTGTCATTTGGAGCTCCATTAATATCACGATGGCCTTTATATAGAACACACAGGGTCAGAAAGTAAGTTAATGTCCTCATTCTCTTCTTAGGTGATATTCTTGTCTTCCTGACTGGTCAGGAAGAGATTGATACTGCTTGTGAGATTCTCTATGAAAGAATGAAATCCTTGGGACCTGATGTTCCAGAGCTTATCATCCTTCCAGTGTACTCTGCTCTTCCCAGTGAGATGCAGACACGGATCTTTGACCCAGCTCCACCTGGCAGCAGAAAGGTACCTCTGGACAGAAATGAAGCCCTGTGTGCTCTAAAGCCATGTGGTATATACAGCTGGCTCAGTGGGGATTACTTAGGAGTATGCCAGTCATGTTTGTTATGTTTTGGAAAGTAGTCCAACCAGTCTGTTAAAGAATGAGGGTCCTGTAGGTGACCCCTGCCCCCTTTCCTTCATTCAGCAAATATTGTTTTAGCACCTATTAGACTTTGGGGTTGACACAGGACTGCAATCTGAGAGCAGGCCTCCATCTGCTGTGGGACATTCACCTAGTAGACCGGCCTTTAACATACAGTGTGAAAGTGGTACTGATGCTCTGAATACCCTGGGGAGCAGCCCCCACCAGTATCCTTAGAGAAAGTAAGCACCTACACTAGTCCTGAAGAACACACACATGTTCATCCATGTAAGAGCAGGAGGACACACATTCTAAGTAGACAGAACAGCCTGTTACAGCCTGGAGGTAAGCAGGTGTGGCCATTTCAGGCAGGTGCCTAGTCCCAGTAGCTGGAAGGGATTGTGTAAGTAAGTCTGTGTATGAGGCGATGAGAAAGGAGACAAGTTCTTTTTTAATTAGCAGCTTTATTGGGATGTAGTGTACATAACATACAATTCACTCCTTGAAAGCATGCAAGTGGTTTTTAGTATATTCACAGAATTGTGAACTGTTATTGATAATAATCTTTTGAACATTACACTTAATTTTAGAACCTCTTCATCATTCCCTAACAAACCCTGTACCCTTTAGCAGCCATCATCCTTCATTCACCCTTCTCTTCAAACTCTGGGAACCAACAATCTACTTTTTATCTATGGATTTGCCTGTTCTGGACATTTCATATAAATAGCATAATGTATGGTCCTTGGTGATTAACTTCTTTCACTTAACTCTACCCAAGGTTCATCCATGTTGTAGCATGTGTAATGCTTCAGTTATTTTTGTTTCCAGGTAATATTCTATTACAGAATAGTTTACATCTAAAATGTGCATATACCACATCTTGTTTATCGAGTCATCAGTTGATGGACATTTGAGATGTATCCACATTGTAGTTATATGACTAATGCTGCTATCGACATTTACTTATTAGTTTTTGTGTGAACGTGTTTTTATTTCTTCTGAGTATATGCTTAGGAATGGAAAGCAGATGGAGTTGAATAACATTAAAGATTAGAATGAGAAAAGACTTAGTGGGTGCCTGGAGGTAGAGGGAAAGAGGCCGGAAGGAAGTCAGGGATGACTCCCAGGTTTCTGGCACGGGCAGCTGGATGGAAGATGGTGCTGAGGCAGGAAACATGGGAGAGGAGCAGGTTACAGGGGAGAGGTGGCGAGTCCTTTGTTTTGTTCCTGAGGGCTGGTCTTTCTAAGCAGGGCTTCTGTGGCTCTGACAGGTACTGCCTTTTCAGGGCCAGTAAGATGCAAGTTGTTTTGGTGCCTCCTAGCAATGATTTTTCAAAGCAATCATGTTTTATTAGCCGAACCTCTGGGTGCAGGAACAGTGGCAGTGCCAAGCTGAGACCAATAATCTTCTAGATCACATATATTGCTGCATGCATACAAATTGTGAAATGCCTCTCCCGCCTCATGATTCATTTTATGATCAGAAAAAAAAAAACCCTTCTTCTTGTTCCACATATACAAACAGCCCATTTTGTAGTCCAGATGTCCCCATGGGAGAAGGAAAATCTCATTTTGCACTGGCACATGTGATACCAGGAAATCTCTTCTTTCCCAGGGTGCTGGAAAATTAAAATTGTAGTAATCAACATTGGATCTAGAAAATGAGATATGTAGCCATTAGTGCCAAATGAAATTGGCTTTAATTTGCCTCAGCTTTTCCCTATTCCACTGCTCAGGTGCCACCCCCTCCAACCTAACCCTTAAGGTAAAGGCCCCCTCCCCTTCCCTACTTTTTGCACCCAAACTGAGATTAAGTGCTATCTAATTGTCTAGAGAGGAATATAACTGAACCCTCCTTTGGGGAGATGACTGAGTTCAGGAGTCCCATCTCACACCTCAGGACTGAGCCTGGGTAGCTCAGTCTGGCTGTGTCCCTCTCGCCTGCAGGTCGTGATTGCCACCAACATTGCAGAGACATCGCTGACCATCGACGGCATCTACTATGTGGTAGACCCTGGGTTCGTGAAGCAGAAAGTGTATAATTCCAAGACAGGGATTGACCAGCTCGTGGTGACTCCTATTTCTCAGGTATGGTTGCTTTTTTTTTTTTTTAAAGATTTATTTTATTTTATTTTATTTATTTATACAAGCACTGGGTACAGTCAGAAGCGCGGGAGGGTGAGAGAATTCACCAGAGCCAGAGCGGGGAGCAGAGCAGGCAGAAGGACCGAAGTACACTGCTGAGGGGAGCAGCGGGCGGCAGGAGAGGTCTACGTGCCATGCGGGACCCTCCTCCGGTGGTCGGGGAGCAGCCGGGGATGGAACTGGCGCTGCAGAGGCTGCGGGCAGCTTCGCAACCTAGCGCTTAACCGCTGCGCCACTGGGGAGGCCCATTGGTTGCTTTTATCAACAGCTTTCCTGAAAATCCTGGGATTCTGAAATTTTTTGTTCTTGTATTTTGAACTTTATTTTCAAAGATGAACTTTTAAGATACTGGGTGCTTTCTTGAGCTAAGGGAGAGTTTATGTTTGTTTTTAATATTTAGAGTAGTGTCTCACAATAAAAAGCCCCTAAAATGTGAGCTTATAAGTTTAAATCTCAGCTCTCTGGATGATCCGAGAGATTAGGTGTGAGTATGTCTTTAAAAGTGCTGTAGGTAGCCATGGCTATCTGGGGATAATTTATGGAATGATTGTGTGCTTCTTTGGTAATTATGGAATAATTTCATGCCTTAATTATAAGAAATTGAATAACCTGATCACCTTTTTTTTTTTTAAGATTCATTTTTATTTATGCATACAAGAGCTGGGGTGTAGGCCAGAGGTTGTGGGCGGGGGAGTGAGAGGATTCACCTGAGACAGAGTGGGGAGCAGAACAAGCAGATCTACTGAAATACACTGCTGAAGGGAGCAGCAGGCAAGACAGGAGAGGTCTTCTGCACCATGTGGATTAGCTCCCTGGCCGGGGATCAGACCAATGCTGTAGTGGCTGCAGATAGCTTCACAGTGCTGAGATAGCTTCACAGTGCTGCAGATAGCTTCACAGTGCTTGCACCACCAGGGAGGCCCCCTGATCATCCTTTTTTTTTTTAATTTTTTTAAAGATTTATTTATTTATGCATACAAGAGCTGGGGTACAGGCCAGAGATGCAGGATTCATGCAGAAGATTCACCAGAGACAGAGCAGGGAATAGAACAGGCAGACTGACACACTGCTGACACACTGACACACTGCTGAAGGGAGCAGCGGGCGAGATGGGAGAGGTCTGCTTTGCCATGTGGGTTGCTCCCTGGCTGGCCGGGGATTGCAATCGTGATGCAGAGGCTGCGGATTGCCTCATAGTGCGGTTCTTAACCCCAGCTTCATAATGCTGAGACTTAACTCCTTGCACCACCAGGGAGGCCCTCCCTGATCATCCTTTTTGAAGGCACCTTGGCCACAATTGTAACCAAAATGGTAAAGTTCATCTCTTTAACCTAATAGTTCTACTTCTAGGAATATATCTAAAAGTTAGAAGTGGTGGAACATATATCTAAAGGTAGTAGAAAAGAATGTTCACTAAAGTATTGTTTGTTTATATTAGAGGAAACTTGGAAAAATTCTAAATGGGTTCCAGAGGGGAAGTAGTAGTTTAATAAAATATGGTATATCCATGCTGTAGAATGCAACATGGCGTGAACATAGTGGTGTGTATCTATATTTAATGATAGAAGCTTGTAATGCTGATGTATTATTTGAAAAACACCAGCATGAACAGTATAATCCAATTTTTGTTTAAAAATGGATGGTATGGGTGCCTCCCTGGTGGCGCAGGCGGTTGAGCGCAGCGCTGTGAAGCTGTCCACAGCCTCTGCAGTGCCAGTTCGATCCCCGGCAGCTGCAGAGATACCCACATGGTGGGGCAGGCCTCTCTTGTCTCGCCCACTGCTCCCCTCAGCGGTGTATTTCAGTCAGTCTGCCTGTTCTGTTCCCCGCTCTGTCTCTGGTGAATCCTCTCACCCTCCTACACATCTGGCCTATACCCTGGTTCTTACATAAAAATAAATAAATCTTTAAAGAAAAAAAAACTTAAAAAAAAGTTTCTTTACTCTTAAAAAAAAAAATAGATGGCATGCACTTGTGCAGTGTGTGTGGGCAAGGTGTGCTTTAGACTGAGAACATGTAGTCGGAACATTAGACAAGTTTATTTCTGGCTGGTGCTTCTGGTTATTGTGTTAATGAGTGAAATGCATTTTTTTACACTTCTATATATTGTTCATTATTTTGTAATTAACTTCTATAACAATGCTTAGTATTTTATATAATAGTATTTCATAATCTTTAAAAACCTAAGGCTACTTTTACTTAGAAATTGAAGTAATTGCTGACACTGGCAAGGAACTTACTAAGTGCCTGGCACTGTCTTAGCTGCTTTCACACATTACATTCTCACATCGATCCTTTGGGGTAGTGTTATCATTTCACATATGACGAGATTGAAACACAGAAGGGTTAAGTGATTTGCCTAAAGTCACACAGCTGATGGACAAGGATTTGAACCTGTATGTGTGCTCAGTACCACTTCTCCTTAGAGTGGTATGTGTAACTCACAGTAATTGAGAAATTAGTTACACTTGTCCTTCCTGACGTGGAGGGACGCATCTGTAGATTCTGTCATGGCGCGTGATTGTTACCTGACTTGTGGTTAGTGTCTTGTCCTCCATCTTTTGGTTTGGAGCTGGCATAGCAATTTGTAAATCCTGATCCTATTTGTAAGACAGATAGTTTTGTCAGAAAACAGCCTTTTTCAAAATTGCTTTTTACTATTCCCTAGCAACCTGTTGCTAAATGATTATATATGTATATATATAATTTATATATGTATACGTACACTAGGTACACACACATATATTTAATTTCAAAAGTTAGCTCCTTAATCCCCTAAGTGCAGAAGTAATACTGCATTATTTTTTTTAAAGATTTATTTATGCATACAAGAGCTGGAGTATAAACCAGAAGTGGGGAGGAGGGGCAGAATGAGAAGATTGTCACCAGAGACAGAGTGGGGAGCAGAATAGGTGGATCTACTGAAATACACTGCTGAGGGGAGCAGTGGGGAGACAGGAGAGGTCTGCTGCACCATGTGGATTAGCTCCTTGGCTGGGGATTGAACTCATGCTGCAGTGATTGCTGCTGTGGCTTGCTTCATAGTGCTGAGACTTAACCCATTGCACCACCAGGGAGGCCCCAATATTGCATTATTTTTTGGGAAATAGGAAGAAAAAAATAATTCATAATCCTGCTAACACTTCTGTCATCATTTGATGTTTTTCTCGCCCAACTTTCTTCAGAAGTGTTTGCAATTCTGGTAGTCTAGTTAATTTGTGGTTTTGTGTGTTTCTTGCTTAATTATTAAATTTTCCTGATTAAGATAGTACATGTTAAATATTGAATATTTGATAAAGAAAATAGAATTCCATCTGCAAGTCTTCCATCAGTTAGCCACAGTCACCGTAAGGGTATTTTCCCCCAAGTTTTTTCCTTCTGTTAGTTTATATCTACACATCAATTTTTAAAAATAAAATTAGAATTGGGGCCTCCCTGGTGGCGCAGTGGGTTGAGCGCAGCACTGTGAGGCTGTCCACAGCCTTTGCGGTACAAGTTTGATCCCCAGCCGGGATGCAACCCACATGGCGCAGCAGACCTCTTGCCCCTGCTCCCCTCAGCAGTGTATTTCAGTACAGCTGCCTGTTCTACTACCCACTCCCTCTGGTGACTCTTCTTACCCCGACGACTTGGCCTGTACACCACTTAAAAAATAAATAAATAAATAAAATTAGAATTGTCTTGCTTTGTAACTTTTACTTTTTCACTTGGGAACGTTTCCTTTTGTCATTGAGTATCTCAAACCTGATTTTTAAAACAGCTGTGGCACCCTCATTAAAATCAATTTATTTAGTTCACTTATATTTTTGGTTATAACTGTGGGGTGGTATTTTGTCATCTTGTTTTGTGTTTTCTCATTTATGTTGTGCTACAATATTTCAAAGATATATTTCTGTGATCTTTGCAAAATTTCTTCCATTCCCCTTTCTTTTTTTTTTAATAGAGGCATGTTTTATTTATTTGTTTGTTTTTGTTTATACATGCACTGGGTACAGTCAGAAGCGCGGAAGGGTGAGAGAATTCACCAGAGCCAGAGCGGGGAGCAGAGCAGGCAGAAGGACCGAAGTACACTGCTGAGGGGAGCAGCGGGCGGCAGGAGAGGTCTGCGCGCCATGTGGGACCCTCCTCTGGTGGCCGGGGAGCAGCCGGGGATCGAGCCGGCGCCGCAGAGGCCGCGGGCAGCTTCGCAACCCAGCGCTCAACCGCTGCGCCACCGGGGAGGCCCCCATTCCCCTTTCTTAAATTTGCCTTGCTTGAACAATCAGCTGACATGTTGAGTAAATGGAGAGGCGATGATGTGAGTTTGCTAGTCTTGGAAATAGTTCTAAAGAAAGTGAAATAAATCACATTTCTGATTTTGTTAGGTCCTCAGTGCCCTCCTTTTAACAGATTTCCTCAGTATAGCTGTTAAGCTATTTTTAAAAGATATTTATTTTACTGTTATGTCCCTTCCCTTCTAGGCTCAGGCAAAACAACGAGCTGGCCGAGCTGGCCGAACAGGCCCAGGAAAGTGCTATAGGCTGTACACGGAGCGTGCCTACCGAGATGAGATGCTGACCACCAATGTGCCAGAAATCCAGAGAACCAACTTAGCAAGCACAGTGCTCTCTCTTAAGGTAGGCATCACTGACTTGTTAGAATGGATTGGTGAAAGGTTCCAATCTTACGGCTTTAATCAGTGAATCTCAGTTTTATGAACCTTGTTCAATACATCAGTGACCTCATGCAAGCAGTCCCTTAGAGTAAAATGTAAGTGGCTGTGATCACAGCCTCTCCACCACGGGTCTGGGACTAACTTGGCATGTCTGCCGTGAACACACATTTTTTTCTTAACCATAAGAGCCAGCAGGATATTTGGTTGTAAGAGATTTTAGTTAGGAGCAGTTTCTAAAAGGAAATTAGAGAAATCTAATCGGTGCCAAACTGGGGAAAAACTCACTTCCCTTAACCCCTTTAGCTTTCAAGTCCAATTCTCATCTTTTACAACGGAAGCAAAACTCCCAATCCAAAAACTTTACAGGGAACTGTCAGTACAGGTTTCAGACTGGCCCCATGGGGGCTTGGTTTCCATTCTGAATCACTGCTTTTCAGTCCCCGGTGAGGACCTTCATTCTCTTTTGGCAAGGGGAACTGCATGAGTAATTTCCCAGATGATGGCATCCTCCCCCTCTGCCCCAACACTGATGCTACCCTGGAGCCCTGGCACTTTACTGGTGCAGAGTGCCAGTTGTCATTTATTATTTAGTCATTGTAAAAGAGGCTAAATCATAGCTTCAGAAAAAAACCTGCTCCAGTCTCTCCAGGGCATACAGAGAGACATCTGTGGGTCAAACTTCTACTCTAAGCCATGTGTCTTTGGCAAATTTATCTCCTTGACACTCTGCTCTTTATCCTCTCTACAAGGAGCAGGGATGGGGTGGGGCAGGTGATAACTGACTAATGTGAAGATAAATGAGAATACGCAGGTAAAGGCACTTGGCACAGTGCTTACTGACTGTTAACCTAATTCCTTGCATTGTTATTCATCCAGTGGGCATTTACTGAACACCTGCTGTGTTTATGGTCACGATCACTTTACTGGAGGACAGCAAGTTTAGGTCCTCCCACAGCACCCATTACACACACTTGGATAGTCATCATTCAGTCATTTCTTTTATTCATCCAATTAGCTAGCAAGTGTATTGAATACCCACTCTGCCAGGCACGCAGATTGCACTGGGTTGTCATGGTTCCATGTCCATGTCGCTCACCATTGTGACTTCTGAGAGCAGGGACTACATCTTAGTCATCTTCATGTCCCTGATACCATGTATCAGGATCAGGGTACCAGGCACTTCCTAGATTTATACAAGAAACAGTTAAGCTAATTTTTTTTTAATTGTATACATAACACATTAGCATTGTAACCTTTTTTTTTAACATCTATTTATTTATGCATACAAGAGCTGGGGTATAGGCCAGAGATGTAGGGGAGGGGGTGAGAGGATTCACCAGAGACAAAGCGGGGAGCAGAACAGGCTGATGGACTGAAATACACTGCTGAGGGGAGCGGTGGGTGAGACAGGAGAGGTCTACTTCACCATATGGGTTTCTCTCTGGCCAGCCAGGGATTGAACTTGGGCTGCAGACGTTGCGGATTGCTTCATAGTGCAGTGCTTACCCCTTGGGCCACCAGGGAGGTCCCCCATTGTAGCCTTTTTATTTTTTTATTTTTTTGTTTGTTTGGTTTTTACAGATTTATTTATTTATTTATACAAGCACTGGGTACAGTCAGAAGCTAGGGAGGGTGAGAGAATCTACCAGAGCCAGAGCAGGGAACAGAACAGGCAGAAGGACCAAAGTACACTGCTGAGGGGAGCAGCAGACGGCAGGAGAGGTCTGCGCGCCATGTGGGATCCTCACCCGGTGGCCGGGGATCCGGGGATCGAACCGGCGCTGCAGAGGCTATGGGGTAGCTTCGCAGTCCAGTGCTCAACCGCTGCGCCACCAAGGAGGCCCCCATTGCAGCCTTTTTAAATGTAGATTCAGTGGCATTAAGTACCTTTGTAATGTCACGCATCCATCACCACTGACCATGTCTAGAATTTTTTCATCATCTAGCTGTTAGTGGAATCATACAATATTTATCCTTTTGTATCTGACTAATTTTACTTAATGTTTTTATGATTCATCCATGTTGTAGCAGGTGTCAGAATTTCATCTCTTTCTTAAGAGTGGATCATATTTATTATATATGTATATCATGTATATTTTGTTTGTCCACCCCTTGATGGACATGTGGGTGGTTTCCTCCTTTGGGCAATTGTGAATTATGCTGCCGTGAACGTCAGTACATGTATCTGAGTCTCTGCTTTCAGTTCTTTTGGATATATATCTGGAAATGAAGTTGCTGGATCATATTTAATTCTGTGTTTAATTTATTGAGGAATCATCAAATTATTTTTCACGGTGACTGCACCATTTTACATTCCCAAAAGCAATATATGGGGATTCTTGTTGATCTTGCCAGTTCTTTTCATTTTCTGTTTTTAGCCATCCTAGTGAGTCTAATGTGGTATCTCATGGGTTTGATTTGCATTGCCCTGATTACTAGTAATGTTGAATCTTTTCATGTGCTTGTTGGTCCTTGGTTTATCTTTTTGGGAGAAATGTCTATTTAAGTCCTTTGTCAATTTTTTTTAAAGATTTATTTATTTATACAAGAACTGGGATACAGGCCAGATGTGCGGGAGGGTGAGAAGATTCACCAGAGACAGAGCAGGCAACAGAACAGGCAGACTGACTGAAATACACTGCTGAGGGGAGCAGCGGACAAGACAGGAGAGGTCTGCCCACACCATGTGGGTATCTCCGCGGCCAACCGGGGATTGAACCCACACTGCAGAGGCTTCAGACAGCTTCACAGTACTGCGCTCAACCGCCTGCGCCACCAGGGAGGCCCAGAAAGCATTTGCTTTTTAATAGTCTGGGTTTTGTGGGACCCAGACCTCGAAGTTATTGCTAATCTTGCCTGGTGGCTCCCTTATTGCAGTTGAGGAAACAGGAGAGTGACAAGTAGTCTTCCTCCATGTTGACACTGCATGGTTGAGCCTGCCTTCACCTGCTTTCTCCCTCCCTTCCTAGGCCATGGGTATCAATGACCTGCTGTCCTTTGACTTCATGGACGCACCACCAATGGAGACCTTGATCACAGCCATGGAGCAGCTGTACACGCTGGGGGCCCTGGATGACGAGGGCCTCCTTACTCGCCTGGGTCGCAGGGTAGGAGACAGACTTAACTTCTGGTGCTCTGGGGGAGAGTCCCTGGCTAGCCAACCTTGCTTTTTGTTCTGTACAGAATCAAACTGAGGCCCTGGACAAACTTTGAGTACAATTACAGATGCCTGTTTTTAACCTGGGCTTTTCACTAACACTTAAAAAGTACTTTACAGAAAAAGGAATTCTCTCCACAGTAGATTTTTATCTCAAGGTATATAATTGAATCTAACCTTCACTTTAAAAGCTGACTGCCTCAACAGTGGTCATGTTCTTGGTCACATGCATTCCTTTGGGGTTTACTTGGGAGATAAAAAACCAACATTCTTCTAATAAAGACAGGCATCCCATATCATGCTCTGGTAAACTTCCTGTGGTCTGCTTCCCACTCTGGCCGGAGGGTGTCTCTCACAGGCCAGTTCAAATGGGTCTTCCACGGGAAGCAATTGTACTTTCTTCTTCTCCCTGTAGATGGCAGAATTCCCCCTGGAGCCAATGCTGTGCAAAATGCTGATCATGTCTGTGCACCTGGGCTGCAGTGAAGAAATGCTGACCATCGTGTCCATGCTGTCTGTGCAGAACGTCTTCTACAGACCCAAGGTAGGGAGTTCACACCCTCTTTCAGATAAGGATGCAGTGATGTTGAGTGAAATCAGCTGAAGTGGTTGATATGGACACTTGACAGGGCCACATAGGGCTTCCTGGAGTGGCCAGATGTTCAGTTAATAGTTGTTGGGTGGGGGCCTCCTTGGTGGCCGAGGGGTTAAGTCTCAGCCCTACCACTGTGATGCCCTCTGCAGTGGCCTGAGTTCAATCCCCAGCCAGGATGCTAACCCACATATGGTGCAGCAGAGCTCTTTTGTCTCACCCACTGCTCCTCACTCTGTCAGGTGAACCCCCTCACCCCCCACACCTCTGGCCTACACCCCAGTTCTTCATGCAAAAACAAATAAAATCTTAAAAAAAAAAAATAGTAGTTGGGTGGCTAATGATCCTCTGTCCTACTGCTTGGCAGGATAAACAAGCCCTTGCGGATCAGAAGAAGGCCAAATTCCACCAAACGGAAGGGGACCACCTCACCCTGTTGGCTGTGTATAACTCCTGGAAGAATAACAAGTTCTCCAACCCGTGGTGCTATGAGAACTTTATACAAGCTCGCTCCCTGCGCCGGGCCCAGGACATTCGCAAGCAGATGTTAGGCATAATGGATAGGTAACATCTGGTGACTTCTCATATTTGGGTTGAACCTCCTTGAATGTCATGTCTGTTGTCTCTGTACCTATGAAGCCATAGGCACCTGTACACTTGCTCCTCACATAACCCTTCTTCCAGCTTTTCTGTCTTTTTTTATACTCCTCAGGGAAAGGTGTCCCTAAAAATCACTTCAAAAATTCCCAAGAAGAAAATAATTTATTAGTTCCTGAAAAATACTTTGTTTACAAGCATCTGGAGCGTTACTGGTCAAGTTGAATTAAATATCTGGCTCCTGTGGCACCTGTCCTGTCCACTGTGTGAAGCTACCCCGGTAGTACACAGGGCTGGAAGGAGGGTCCTGCTACCTGTTCTGAGGACCCAAGATGGGAGTGTTGGCCTCCGTCATTTGGGAAGATAGAACCTCTGAAAGCAGAGTAGGCTCATCTCTTAGTCCATTTTGATTCATTCTCCTGATAGACACAAACTGGATGTGGTCTCCTGTGGCAAGTCCACCGTCCGAGTGCAAAAGGCCATCTGCAGTGGGTTCTTCCGCAACGCTGCCAAGAAAGACCCACAGGAGGGCTACCGGACACTGATCGACCAGCAGGTGGTCTACATCCATCCTTCCAGTGCTCTCTTCAACAGGCAGCCGGAATGGTAAGTGGGCAGGACCCAGGGCGGGCTGTTCTGGGCAGAGAGCACCTGTAAATCAGTGCACTCTGTGTGGTGTCTTTCCAGCACTTCTAGTGTTGCTTTTATTTCTGGAGCAGCAGAAGTCTAAATTTGACACAATATCTGGCCCTTTTGAGAGAAATAAAATGTAATGGTAAGAGCTTGGAGATCATCTAGTGAAGTGGTTAAGAAAAAAAATTTTTTAAGTGGCATTTAAAAAATTGGAGTCTTCCAGCCCTTGTATAAAATTGTATAAAATTGATTTAAAGCCGCTGTGCCACTGTGGTAGAAGGAGGGTTAGAGATGTAGAGCCTTGTCTGCTTGGCCTTCCCCACCCTTGTGGCAGCCCCGAGACTCCTCTTGAGGGCCCTGGAGTTCTGTGGACACAACTTGAAAAACTACCCTCCAGGAAATAGCTCCAGAGAAGGGAGTGATTGGCTCATGTCACTTAACTAGAACCAGTACCAGGACTAGAATGCATTATCCTGACGGCTTTCTTGTGGTATGCAGCTGCCTCAGTATTGGGCTGTGGTCACCATAAACAGAGACTGCAGTCTCCCGAAGGGTAAGGCAGAGAATGTAAGTGGGTAAGATGTAAGCTCAGTTGAGGCCCATCAGGGATCAGGTACTGTGGTGTGGGGCCTGTCTCTGAGGCTTGAGCCTCTCTCTTCCCTCAGGGTGGTGTACCACGAGCTGGTGCTGACCACAAAGGAGTACATGCGTGAGGTCACCACCATCGACCCCCGCTGGCTTGTGGAATTTGCTCCAGCCTTCTTCAAGGTCTCCGACCCAACCAAACTAAGCAAGCAGAAGAAGCAGCAGCGTCTGGAACCTTTGTACAACCGCTACGAGGAGCCCAACGCCTGGAGAATATCACGGGCCTTCAGGCGGCGCTGAGAAGCCAGACTTGTCTGTTTGCCTTTCCTGCAGCAGCAGACCAGGGCTTGGCCTCGTTCTTTTTATATGAAAAGCTGGTCCCGAGTATACAGCTCTCCTGTGCCTGAGTATCTTAACTGGGCATTTTGTAAACTTGACTGATTTCTTCCCAGGTAAAATCGAAATAGGGAGTTAAGCCTGGTTTGGCTAGAGCCTCCAAATTCCATACCCCACGTCACTGGGGCCAGCCAGGCCTCACGGCCAGCACGGCGGTACACGGCATGACCTCCAAGGAAAGGACAGCTAGTGCAGCCCTCGAGGAGGACAGGGACTCTTGAGTGCCTGACATTGGGGTACAGTCAGGGCCCTAATACCCTAGCTGGTACTCCTGGAGGAGAGTCACGAAGCTTATTTAAAGCTTTGACCCCACCTCTTGCCCCTGTCTAGCCCCTACACTTTTGTTTAATCTCCTGGAAATATTTATTTTCTTAAGGAAACAAAAATGGTTTTCTGTGGCTGTTTCTTATAGTTGAAAGATTAGGATATTGGCTTGGGCTTAGGGTAGGGGAGACTTAGTATCTGCGGTATTGGTGGCTGTGGTCTAGTTCCCTAAAACCAGAGCCTGGGCCTCTTTGGACTGGGAGGTGAAGCTCAGCGCAGACCTCCTGTTTTGTCTCTGGGCATCAACATTAGCCCAGCTCTGCTGCTGATTGCATAGTGAGAACAAGCCGCCTGGTGCTGCTGTCTGGGCACCTGCATGTGAAAAAGCAGGCTCCCTGCTGCTCCCCCCCAACTCCCCGCCCCATGCTCACGATCACAGCCTGTCCTCTTTCCTTTTGAAACATGCTAAATAATGACATGGCTTTTTATTTTTAAAATTTTCCCCCCTGAGATCCTCAAAAGCCTTCCCTTCCTGACCCCAACACAACACCCCTCGTCTGGTTTGTGCTACCCAGCATCTCGACTCCATTTAGTGATTTTCTCTTGGCATTCATTTGGGGGTTGACCAACTCCTGCACCCCTCGCATAGGTGCTGACCAGGCTCTGTACTTGGAAGAAAATAACAGGCAGATGCCACCAGGCCAGGTTGTGAAAACTGGTCCCAAGGTCAGATTTGTGGAGATGTTCCTGGGGTGTTAGGCACATCCTCTGTTGTGGCCCTTGCTGCCTCCCCCAGCTCCACACCAGTGTGTTCTGAAATGATAGAATACTAGAGCTACTAGAGACTGTAAGAGACTATACGATGTTCTAGAATATGAAGGAATGTGGGCAGCATTGGGTTTGATCCCACTGGGCAGCAAACAAACCATCTGACAATTCAGAAAACCCAGCAGAGGAGCGCAGGCCAGCCAGGGAGTCTGCTGACTGCAGCTCCTGCCCCTTTGTTGAGCTGAATGAGTACCTTGTTCCAAGAGCGTGCCTTGCTCTGAGCGTGTGTGTTGGGAAACCCGGGGCAGTAATTCAGGTCAGGGGAGCTTCCTGTGTTAACCTTAAAGGCCTCGTGGGGAGATAGTGCAGAGATCACAGAAGAGAAGTGGGGCCTGGGCTCCCAGCTCCCCCAACTTAATTCCAGCCCACGTCTCTCAAGTTCAGGAATAAAGTTGACTTGGCAGCCGCCTGTCCCAATGGAGTGACCAGTACTGATGGCAGTGGCACCTCTGAGCTCATCGCCCCCAAGTAAGGTTTGTTTGTTTGTTTAAAGATTTATTTATGCATACAAGAACTGGGGTACAGGCCAAAGGTGCAGGGGGTGAGAGGATTCACCAGAGACAGAACAGGCCAATTGACTGAAATACACTGCTGAGGGGAGCAGCAGGCGAGTCAGGAGAGGTCTGCTATGCCATGTGGGTCACCTCTCGGGCTGGGGATCAAACTTGCGCTGCAGTGGCTGCGGAGAGCTTCATAGTGCTATGTCTTAACTCCTTGAGCCACCAGGGAGGCCCCAGGTTGTTTTTTGGTTTTTTTTTAAGATTGATTTATTTATATATACAGGAACTGGGGTACAGGCCAGAGTTGTGGAGGGTGAGAGGATTCACCAGAGCTAGAGCAAGGAGCAGAACAGGTAGACTGACCAAAGCACACTGCTGAGGGGAGCAGTGGGGTGAGACAGGAAAGGTCTGCTGCGCCATGTGGGCAGCTCCCTGACCAGGGATCAAATTCGTGCTGCATTGGCTGACGGCTTCATAGGTGTGTCTTAACCCCTTGCGTCACCAGGGAGGCCCCCCAGATTTGGGTTTTAAGCTGAGGTTGCCCAGGGCATGTTGAACAGGCCGGGTGACAGACATTGGGGCAGACCATCTTGCAGGGTTAGGAAAACAAATAGGACCCCAACTATGTGGGTGTTCCCTGAGCATCTCTTCCAAGAGCTGGGGTCACCTCTCTCCTATGATAACATGGCTGCGGTCTGACCTCTGACTGGCCACCAGGAAACAGCATGTAGGCAACAGAGCAGAGCCTGCTCAGAGGGCGAAGTGGGCTCCCAGCCAGATTCGGAAGGAGGGCTTGCCTGCTGCTCCTACACAATGTGGCCCTTGTTTCTCCTTGAACCAGTGTTTCCCCGACATTGAGTGACAGCCCCAGAGAGGATGTGGGTCTCGTGCGGAGAGCTGGAATCTTCTAGGACATGAAAGTATATTGTTCACTCTGGCCCTGTGGGAGCCCATGAGCATCCAGCCCCTCACACGTGCTGAGTGTGTGCTTGTTTGTGTGTGAAGGGACAGGCCCCGCAGGGAGTGTGGGAGTGCGCTGCTGAGTCAGGCTCCTTGGTCTGGGCTTCACCTTCCTCTTGCCCAGAACCTGACTAGGTATCTGCTGTCTCCTCAGAGCAGTTTCCTCAAGTGTGAGGATTTGAACAAAGCTGACACTGCGGGGAGTGGCTTGTTAATGAATACTCAGAGGGCAGACATCACGGCCTCAACCTTTTCCAGGCTGCTGCTTCTCATCTCAATCTTGTGTGTCCTTAGGACCTCAGGGTTTCCACTCAGCGTGCATGCCTCTTCCCACCACCATAGCCTGGCTTTAATGTACAATTACAAATATTTTCCAAAAACCTTGGATTTTTGTTCCTTGAGTTACACTGTAAATGTACATTGAGAATTTGTTTCTAGGGCAAAAAAGTGCTTTTTATTTGTGGGTAGTGGTTGAGAAGTATCCCTTCCTGCGAGGGTTGCTGTGGTCTCAGCATGCATACTGGGCAGAGGCTGCTGGCATTGAGGGTTGCTGAGTCTAAAGCTGGCACAAAGCATGGCCGCAGTCCTGGAGTATTTGTCCTGAGCCTCACTCCTGGGAACCTAGGGACTAAGTCTAGAAGCACCTATCCTGTCCTCACCCCACCACCCCTTTTCCATTTCTACTCAATCTCATTCCCTCCCTTGAGTGTCCTTTTCCTTCACTGACCAGAACCCTGGGTCTGCTCTGGCCTTTTCCTGCACCCTCTTGACTGGGTACCTTTCACCCTCTCCCACCCCCACCCCCACCCCTCATTCTTCAGGTCTTACAAACTTGTCCTCAGCTTCAGCAAAACTAGCAAGCTGGAGCCAAGGCTGTTGGGGTTCCATGTAGCATAGTCCTAACTGATCACAGGAACTACGCTGCCCGAGGAAGCCCAGGAGGGCCTCCAAGCTCAGTAGCCCTGCCCGCAGCAGGGCCTGATTACAACGCATGCTTCTTCATCTCTGGATACTCAAGACTCCTGGGTGAGGGAAGAGCAGGCCCCCCCGAGCCCATTTTTCAGTCAGAGGTGAACTGTCTTTTCTCTGACCCAGGCAAGAAGTTGTTGTCAAGGCTTGGTTCCAGCACTTTCCAGTGCTTTTCCTTCTCCCACAGCAGCAAAGAGGACACAGAAGTAACAGGAGAAGCAGGGGCCTTTATTAGGATCTGGCAGACATGGAGGGGGAGGTGAAATCCAGGCCTGGGCCTAGGAATGGCAGAGGCAACGGCCCTGGAGCAGGAGCCCAGCCCTCTCTGCCTCGGCCCAGCAACCCCTCCAGATTGCAGCTTCCTTACTCCAGCCTCCCCTGCCTCTGGGAACACAAAGCACCAAAAAACCAACAAGCAGGACCCTCCAAGGCCACAGCTTGGAGTGGAGTGCAGGGTCCAGGCTTTTTATCTCCCCACAGTGGTAGCTCTGGGAAACTCAAAGCACCCCTCTCTGCCAGGATAAAGTGGGGAAACTCCTTTCTCCCCTAGAACATCCCACTGTGATGAGGGAGAGGGTGTGTGGCCTGGGCCTCTAAGCAGGACCTAGGAAGGGACCAAGGTGAGACTCCCAAAGTTGCCTGAGACTTCACTTCTGCACTTACAGTGTCTCCACTTTTCCATCCACTCTGGTGATCAGAGTCTGGGCTGGGGCGACTGACAGGACAGTGGGGGGGTCTGCCCCAAAGACATCTGTGGGTTTCAGAGTGAGGGTTTCCTCAACACCAAATTCATCTGTATATACACAGGGCAGCACCCACGGGCGGCAGTGGGAGGGCTGCTAGGGGCTAGTATGAGTAGCCACCCTTGGGACCAAAGGGCTGGGCAGGGCCAGCCAGCTCTGGGAGGTAGGCGGGACTCTCGTCCAAGTGGGACAAAGGAACTGTGTCCTCCTCACTGACCGGCCGTTCAAACTCGGCCTTGAGAGCTGGGCGCTGATTGTCCGGGAAGGCCAGGGAGAAGAGGGCCTCGGGCTCGCACACAAACTTGTACACGTAGCGCTCGCCAGCCACCTGCGGGGAGAGGGGCCAGGTCAGCCCAGGGGCCCTCCAGCTTGGTGGAGGGCAGGGAACGCAGCCCTTCTCCAGGGGGAGGCAGATGTGTAGGCACATTTTTCTCCATGTGCTGGTTCCTCCAAGAAGCCAACTCCCTTACAGTTTTCCTTCACTCTAATCTCAAATCTCCCCCCACACTGGGCTTTTCAGTTACTATTTGGCAATTTGGGGGGAAAGGGACAGCTCAAAACTGTCTACAATTTCTTGTCCTCTCTGCCTGTTCATTGTCAGCTCCTACAAACTTGCAGCTCTTTGAGGGCTCCCCAGCTCCCCCTATTCCATGAACAAATACTGCTACTGCCCCCACCCTTCTGTCCCCAGACCCTGACCTTCTGCATGATGCCTTTCTCATAATAGTATCGGAGTGAGCGACTCAGCTTGTCATAATTCATGGCTGGCCGGTTCTTCTGGATGCCCCAGAGCCTGGCAACCTGGGAACAAGAGACAGTTTTAGGATGTAGGTACTAACTCAGCAGAAGAAAAATGGGGGGCAGGTCAGAAAGAGCACTTAGATTTTTGGTGCAAAATGCTAACAAGCTTGCTCTGTAACTAAGCACCAGCCCACAGTGCCAGGATTGGCAAGAATTCAGGTTAGAGAAAACAGCAATGACAGTGAAGGCATGTGCCACCAACTGCCAGCCCGCTAGGCCCCAAAGCTGTCCGGAGGAGCAGTGGGGACATCTGAGAGGCCCACCTCCTCGGGCTCAATTAGTTTGAACTCCATCCCCCGGCCCGTCCAGGCAATGAAGTGGGCGTTCGTAGGATCATCCAGCAGGGCCACCAGAAACTGCCACAGCTGCAAGGCACCCCGGCGCTGGTAGGGTGGTCCCTCTCGAAACGCTCCAACACCTTCCTGCTTGATGTCTCCTGGGGAACACAGGAAGCTGGAGGTGTGGGATCTGTGCCTTCCGGTTCCCCAAGCAACCCCTTTTCTCCCCAGGGGTCTCTCAAGACCCTGACCCCCTCACCAACGGGCATTTCTCTGACCTTCAAACTTCTCAGGAACAACGCAGACATCATCTGGGAATGGTCGCAGAGGTTTCTCATAACCATAGCCTTGAGGGAGATGTTGGGAGTCACTTAGAATCTGAGGATTCACTGACAGGAGACCCCGAGAGACCAAAGGGACCCGACCAAGGAGACCCTCCCAATGCCAGGGAGGAGAGGGCTGTCTTACCCATGGTCCCATCACCTGGGGAGGGCCTGGAGAAGCCCTCCGTGTGGAGGTACATCGACGCACACCCAGGGACATCTGAGGGAAGAAACAGGCGTTATACCTGCAGCACCTGGTGAGGGTGGGTGTCTTACGCACATTCAGGCACTTCCTACCAGCCTGACTTAGGGTCCTTTCTCTATGCCTGCCTACCACCAAAGCCCAGAGGAAGTTGACCCCGTGGCTCGAACCCCTCAGCTTGAGGGCTGTGCCAGAGGGCACGGATGGCAGCAGCTGGGGCTGGGTGAAGCTGCTCCACAGGCCGAGATTCCAGGGAGCAGCTGTTTCCTGTGAGTTTGGGGGAGGAGGGGGGTAGGGGCGAACCTCCGGGGAAAGGGTTCAGTGTACATGCCTAAGACTCCTTTGGAATGGGCTAAGGTCCGGTCAGCAGGTCAGGTTCCCAGTTTGTGTGTGTGTGTGTGTGTGAGAGAGAGAGAGAGAGAGAGAGAGAGAGAGAGAGAGGAGGGAGGGGCTGCATGCAGCTATACAGAAGGCAGGGGCAGTGGGCACTTGGCTTTTTCAGGTCTGACAGCAGAACACATTCCACTTCATTTCATTCGGTTCCAGAGGTCTGAAACCTCCCCACTCACTCCGCCCGGAGGCGGCGGTAGTGCGAAGCCACCCATTCAGTTCCAGTTCCACCCTTCCCGCCCTACCCCCTCCACTCCCACCTTTGAATGAGATGGTGAAACCCGACACCTCCGGGAGGAGGCGGGAGGTGGGCTCATTCAAGCCTCCATTTTGTGAATGGAATTCCTGACTCCATTCAGAGGAAGCTGAAGGGGGAGGGACAGGAGTTCAAGGGCATGTAACACGATCCCCTCCGGTCTACTTCCTTTGAAGGTCAGCAGCAAGAGCGGCTCCCTCCTCCTCCCTTCATCTCCCAGCCAGGCTGGGCTCCGCTCACCCCCCGCTGGAGAGGCAGGCCCTCTGGCTCTCCCTCAGGTAGCCTGGGCATTTGTGCTGCACCCTCTACCACTAAAAGACTGGGTACCAGGAGAGGATTCAAAAGCTCTAGCTAGCTCTGAGCCTACTCTAACCTCTGGATTTATCGTTCTTTTCCTTTTCTTTTTCCATTTACTTATCTTTCTAATGCAAGTTTGCAGTAAATTTGGGGATGGCAGCCATATAACAGAAGCCAAGGTTTTCTGGGCCCTCCCTTGGAGTTCGAGGCTTTCAACTTCAGCTATTTTTGACCATAGCTGTGTGCAGCTCACTCGGGGTCAATGACCAGGTGGAACTGGAATTGAAAGCGGTCCCCACTTCCCCGACCCAGTCCTGCTGGGGTGGGGGGGGTCATCCATCCATCTGGAGGCTTAACAGGATGCGGAAACCACATATTAACCCTGAGTTCCTATTGGGAACTATGAGCCTGGCCAGTTTCAAGTTTGTTTCTCTTCATCCCTTTGTATTTTTAAGCTTCTGTGGGGACAGGGACCAACGACACAGCCCGTACATCTGTGTGCCACCCAACTCCACACAGGCTCCTGGCGCAGTACTTTGGTCTCAGGAAGTAATTAAAACCCCAAACACCTGTTACATAGAAATAGAAACAAATACCTTAATTTCCCTATTAAGCCACAAGCTACCTGAGGACAAGGGTTTACATTCCACTTCTCTTTTTATCTGAATATAAGTTTGCTGACTGAAAACTGACAATTCTTTTGCATCTACGAAAAAAAGGGAAGGGGCAGCTGGGTTGGAAGTGTGACCTGGCAAACGGATGAGGAAGGTAAAAACCAACCTTGCTCGGTGACTTTCTGGGCCAATGGAACCATTCACTCAATCGTATGCCACCCCACCCCACCATCCCACCCAAACTCCTCCACCCGCCCCCCAGGAGCAGTCTCTTACCTGAGTCGTAGGCGAAGTCCGTCTGCTCCTGTTTGATCACCACCCCCGCCCCTGGGTACCCGTGCCCATTGACCCCACCTTGGCCCACAGAGGGCTGGCCCGCCTGTTCATACAGGGGGTCAAGGTATTCCTGCTTGAAGCTCTGCTGGGGGTAGGGTGGGCAGGGCTCCGACAGCTGGTGTTGGTAGGGGGCTGGGAGGGGTTCCCGGCCCCCTCCCTGAGATGTGAAGGAGTGGCAAATGTCCAAGGGCTGCTGGAAGACGGAGCTGGATATGGTTGGATGGAGAAGGAAGAGAAGAGAACAGTAAGTCAAGCCTTCCTCCTCCTCCTCATGCCTGCCACTCACAGACCTTTCAGAGTGGGCTCCGGAGTGGGGAGGTGTGTCAATATCCCTTCCTCCTTCTTCCCCCCAACCCCCCTCACCCCTGCCAGGTCTCCTAAGGGCAGGGGAACACTCAGGAACTGAGAAAAACTGGGTGAAACCTGACCACCCATCCTGTGGGGCTCGCAGTCTCCTTACCTATGCTCCCCAAGGTACCCATGGCCAGGGTGGGGCTGGGAGGTGCCAGAGGATCTCAGGAAACTTCGTTGTTCTGCCCGGGAAAAGGGCGGCAGGGGCGACTGTCCGGGGGCACCAGGGGCAGGGGACTTGATGGCGATTTGTCTAGGGGGGTCATAGGCACTGGAGTTGGGGGGAGATAGGGGTGAGGGGGCAGAGAAGCAGGGCAAGCACCTCTGAACCCTTCATCCCCAGGGACGTGGTCACGGGGATTATGAAAGAAGAGTAGAGGGGGCTGGGGAAGAAACAGCATGAACCAGACTCAGCCCCCAGTGAACTTTTTCTCCTGTCATAGATCTTCCTGAAACTGGGTATAATCTTGAGAACACCTCGCCCCCCAGGCCTGAGGACTCGGGCAGTGGAAACAGACTGTTCCAGCCTAAAACACATCCCTTGGGCTCCCTGCTGCATTTTAATCCAGGCTGCTCAGAGGAAACGCTGGGCTGAATTGCTAGAAGCTAGGAAATCCTTTCTGGGGTCTAACCTGCGTCCCAACTACGGGCTCCACCCCTTGGTGCCCCCTCACCCAGTTTCCCCTGTGCCCCTGCTCTCCGCCTCACCCCACCCTCCACGCCACCCCCCCACGCTCACCTGGAATAAAGGCACTGCTCGCCATGGTGGTAGGGGAGGGGCGGCTTCCTGCTGCAGGACAGGGCCGGGTCTGTGCGGGGACTCTGGGGCTCCTTCTTGATCCTGGTGGTGGGGCTGTGGAAAGCTACTGCGGGGGTGGGGGAGGTAGAGCATCAGGGAAGAGGCAGGAAGCTGTTGCCTGCTCTCTGAGGATGGACAAAGCCTCCGTGGTGCCCTCTCTGGGACTCAGTTTTCCGAGATACCTCGTCAGGCACTCTGAAGAACTGTTTGGCCATTTACATTATGTCTAGTTTTATATGTCAAGTGAATGCCCCAACATGAACCAAAGAAACTGTCCAAAGGTTAATATTTATTTTTTTTTTTTATAGAGGCATGTTTTATTTATTTATTTTATTTGTTTGTTTGTTTGTTTTTGTTTATACATGCACTGGGTACAGTCAGAAGCGTGGGAGGGTGAGAGAATTCACCAGAGCTAGAGCGGGGAGCAGAGCAGGCAGAAGGACCGAAGTACACTGCTGAGGGGAGCAGCGGGCGGCAGGAGAGGTCTGCGCACCATGTGGGATCCTCCTCCGGTGGCCGAGGAGCAGCCGGGGATCGAACCGGCGCCGCAGAGGCCGCGGGCAGCTTCGCAACCCAGCGCTCAACCGCTGCGCCACCGGGGAGGCCCCAAAGGTTAATATTTAATGCAGCCCTAAGCCCCTTTGTAGGAGTGAGTAGCTCCACGCTAGGGGCCTGTGGTTTTCCAGTGTGCCCTGGAAAATTCCAAGGAGAGAGATGTTTTCTTATTTGGGGCTATAAAGAATCTTTCTTCTTCTGGGTAAGGCTGGCTATTAGCCCACTTGCATGTCGGCTGAATAACATTACACACATGCTCCTAATTATCTGTGAAGAACATTGGCCTTTCCTGTGGCCCCTGCTGGGTCCTCAAACTCCAGTCACCAGGCTGAGCAGCAAAGAGTTGATTCCAAGCCTCGAGTATGAGATTCTGTCTGACTTCAGTGGAGAGTCAAATGCCTGCCATTGACTCTTCTGTTATCTGCTGTTTTCGATTATCTGTGCCCTGTTTCATTTCATTGGCGAAGGCAGCTGAGAGCAAAGTATCTGACATTAAAGCAGGGTTTCTCAGTAGCAGCACTATTGACAGTTGGGTCAGATCATTTTTTTGTGTGTGTGGGGGTGCTGTCTGGGGCATTGTAGGATGTTTAGCAGCATCCCCAGCCTCAGTTCAAGGATACCCCGACACCCCCTTGGCAACTTTCTATAGTCTTTGCCACATGTCTCCTTGAGGGCAAAATCACCTAAAGTTGCATCAAAGTAACTTAGAATGTTAGAACTGGAGCCTGCAGAACTGGTCCAAGACCCTCATTTCAAGAATAAGAAAATGGAGGATCAGAGAGACTAAGTGTCTGCTCCGAGGTCACACAGCTAGAACTAAGCAAGCCCCAATTTTGAATTAAGATCTTCATCTTCCAGTTACTGCCTTGGTCTTTGAGTCCAAGCCCAGGAACGGGGAGCCCTGCCCATCATCCTTTTCTTTAGGAAAGAACAAGTCCATCTTTTGTGATTCTTTATCCCTGTGACTCATTTCCTGCCCTCCCCTACTCCCATTCCCTCCACCAAGGCCCTCAACTCACAGTTTTCTGCATGGAAATCAGGAACAAACTGCTCATCACTGTCTGGTACCTGAGCTGCAGAGAGAGGTCAGAGGTGAGTCTGAGGTGGAGGGGGGGGCAAGGCAACCCCTGGGAGACACCATTGTTGCAGCTCTGCAGATTAGCACCAGCCCACGGGGAAAACAGCTTCCCAGGCTTGACGGTAACTCCACCCCGGGTCCTAGTGCCCGCCATCTCGGGGCTCCACTGGGATCCTTGAGGGGAGGCTGCAAGTTCCCAGAACCTGTCCGAGCAGATTCCAGAGTCTTTTCCTAGCCGCTTTGTCTTTATTCCCTCCATTTTTCTGAGGTGAAGACAGCCCTGCCCCTCAGTTTACAAAGTTCCCTCAAAGTTCACAGCAGAGTCACACCTGGGATGGGCAGGCGTTAACTGGGAGTGAAGCCTGTGGACTGAGAATCACCTGGGGAGTCTGCATTGGGGCTGGGCTCAGGAGTCTGCATTCTAAACAACTGCCCTGGTGGCTTTGAGATGCACCAGGAATTAGAGCCTGGGAAAGTAGATGGAACGGAGCAAGGAGGGGAGTTCAAGAGAAGTGAAGAGAGGCGGAGCCTGGGGACACTGGCAGGTCACGGAGCCTCAGCCCTTTGATGTGCAGTGAGAAGAGAGGATGTGCCAAGCTTGGAGGTCTGAGGAGCACTCCTAGGGTGCCAGTGTGGGCACAGCTGAGTTTGGGGATTAGGCAGGAAAGCTAAAATAGAACAGCAGCTCATCTGTGCCTCCAACCTGGAGATCTGGAATTTCATTTCTACTTATTTTCCTGGCCTCATCAACTCTTTCAGGTGGGTATTCAGCTCCGTACCTCCCCTCACCCCAGAGTCTTTGCTCATTTTGGCCCCTCTTTCAAGAATAAATAGGTCACAGAAAAAAGGGGAGGGTAGACACGCTGAACGTCAGGAAGAGACTGCCTTGAAGGTAAGGCAATGGAACCCACGACTAGACTCCTGTTTCCCAGATTGGACGAGGGGGAAACTGATGAATAAAATGATGAGAATGAGAATGGCCAGAGGGGTAAGGAATTTAAGAAGTCGGGAGAAGTCTCCTCCCAGCTTATACAGCACACACCCTAGTCTCTGCTGCTTCCCTCCTAGGCCAAGGCACTGTCTTTTCTTACTTGAATTTCAGGCACAGCCTCTTATCAAAACCCCTTATTTCCACTCTCACCTCCTACGGGTAAGTTGTTTGCCACATAGTTGTCTGATCAAGCTTTTTACAACAGAAATCCAATCACTTCTCTCCTTGGCTTAAAGCGTGAATCCCAAGCTCTTTCCAAGGCCCTTTGTGGTCTGCCCTGCTTACCTCTCTGACTGCCTCACTTTACCTATAACTCTCCAGTCTCCAAACCTGACTAGCTCCTTTCTTTCTCCCCCAGTCTATGCCTGCCATTTTTTCCTGGCCATTGAAAACTTAGCTCACTTTGTCACCTCCTCAGAGCCCTTCTCTGACTACCCAAACCAAAGTGGTCCCTCCTGGTTTCATTTTGTCCCTAGCACATCTGGCTAACGAAACTTACTAATGTTTGTTTACATGTTTAATGCCCATTTTCTCCATGTAAAGATTAAACATGGTGAGGCAGGGGCTTATCTATTTTGTACATCTGATTCCTCAGCAAATACAACAGGGTCCAGCTCAGGAATAGACACTCAGTATGTTATTTGTTGACTGTGTGAATAGACACAAAGTGACCCCTTGGGGCCAGTATTGTGAGTCTGGGAGCAAGGCCCGAAGGGACCCTAGCCCTGCACCCCTAGCCTAGCCCTCCACCCCTTTGTCACCTGTGGGCTCTGTCCACCCTATTAGAAGCAGGTCCTTTGTAAAGCACATCTCAGGCTGTGATCAATGGTTGGGCTGGGGGTGAGTGGGAGGCTTCAACTTCCTTTAAATATGAGAAGTGTCAAGTGCTTTGAACATGCATACATTTGTAAATCGTTGACTTCTGAGCAGAGGGGATTGGGCGGAGGGCTTTAGCAATCAGGAGCCACTGGCAGCTACAGAACTTATGAAAATTCAGAATAAAGCAATTCTAAAGTGATCAACTAAATCAGCAGGACATGAAATCCCTTGGTGAAAACAAACAACACAGACAGGCAAATCTTTTCAGGAGCTCAACAAAGGCAACCATTCTCAGGCTGGGCCGTCAACAATCCCAGGGGCATTGTAGAAAGGATGCCCAGTCCCCTCTCCTGGAGGCTCATTCCACAGGCCCCACCCCAGGCATCTGTATTTCCAACAAGGCTTTCTCCACACCCCCAACCCTTTGACCCTTAATAACAGGAGGTTTGGGGGGACTTCCTGGTGGCTCAAGGGGTTGTCTCAGCACTATGAAGCTTTGGCAGCCACTGCAGTACGAGCAATACACATCCAGGGAGCTACCCACATGGCGCAGCAGACCTCTCCTGTCTCACCCACTGCTCCCCTCAGCAGTGTATTTCAGTAGATCTGCTGTTCTGCTCCCCACTCTGTCTCTGGTGAATCCTCTCACGCCCCCCACCCCAAACCCCAGCTCTTGTATGCATAAATAATTAAATCTTAAAAAAAAAATTAGGAAGTTTGAGAAACTTTGGATAAAGGGAAGGATGGAAAAACCTGCTCAGCTACCCAGAGACATGAAGCTGCAATTCACCCATGCTGTGCCCTCTGACCCACACAGGCAGCACCACCAAAGGTGGCAGAAGGGGGTGCCCAGAGCAGGATGAGCAACATTTCCCTCCCTGCTACTTAGGCAAGGAGGGTCCCGAGGGCAGGGGAGGTGCAGAACATGGGGGAGGCTGACGCACTCTGGGCCCCCTCTGGGGCTTCATTAGCTGCCAGTTTCCATTGAGGTAATGGGCTGGGGGCATCTCCTATTGGCGTCAGAGGGCAGTACACATGACACTGGAGAGCCCTAGGGGTCCATCTTGCCTTTCCTCCCACCTTAGGCCAGAAGGTGACCACACCCCCTTCCCCAGCAGCACCCCCCCCAGGATGATGCTGCCACCCCCACCCCCCAACACTCCCCAAAAACCACACTCCAAGAGGTGGTGCCACCCTCTTCCCAGAACCAGGAGAAATCAACCAAGACAAAACTGTGTACAAACCCACCCCTGCTTGGCCCCTCCCAGAACCCTGGCCTTCTCCCAAGGGGGCAGGCCAGGGCCTCAGTGCTCAGAGACTGTCAACAAGGATAGAAATAGGAATAGTAACCTTGAGTCTTGCGTTCCTGGAGAGCAGGAGAATTTCTAATACCATGTTTGGTCTTGAGCATACGCCACTCTATTTATTTGTAGATTTGGCTGATTTTTGGCTGCCAAGCTAGTGTGCCAGGGTCTGCCCCCAGTTCCATCCTGGCACTATGGTGGAGTTTATCTGCCTAGGGGGATAGGAAAAATGCCAAGACAGCATAATGCCCAGAAAGAGAATTTTAGGGAACATTCCTCCAAATTGGGGTAGGGAGGAAGTTAGTAGAAGAGGAAGGGCTTGGGGGGCTTTCCAAGCTGGCCTCTAAGAGAATTGGGGGATTAAAACAGTTAAGTAACTAACCCAACCCCCAGGTTAGTCACCTACCTACACCATATATGTCCCATCACCTTCTCCCCTTTCTAGGGTCCAATCACAGGATGAAGTCCCTGTGGATTGGGGGGGCAGAAAGGGAAGGCATTCTCCCCAGCTTCTGCTCCATTGTGTCACCACTGGCCTTGTCTCTCACCCTTACCCCACCCCCACCTGGCAGCCTCTGTGCTGGAAGGAACCAGTTCTCTATCTATGGAGGGGACATTTGTCCCCAGAAGCCTTCTGGAAGGGGAGGAGACAGAAAGATGTAGAAGGCATTGTAGCTAGGAAAGACTGGAGGAGGGATTAACCCCATCTTTCCCCCTGACCCGCTGAGACACCAAAAGACTCTGCCGCACACAGAACCACACACCCCGATTCTTTTTCCTTCCTGGCAGCACCCGGGAGAAACATCCTCCATGCAAACCCTCCACACATGGGGTCTCTTTTTAGATGTACAAATAGTGGTGGGGAAAACCAAAGGAAAAGGGAGCTGGAAACCTTGGAGGAAGACATGGGTGGGAGCAGGGATTCCTGAAAAGGGCAGCACAGACCTGTCTTTTTGAGAAGCTCATAAAAGCTATAGGTTATAATCTTCCTAGGAAAATTCATCTTCCTTTGTGTATGGTGCACCCCCAACAATTTTACACACCACATCAGAGGGCTCAAGGACCCCTGTAACCCACTCAGAGCTTCCCGAGATCTGCAGACCCCAGCCTCATACAAAGGACATGCATGGCCCAGCATCAACGCTCCTTACTACCAAATAGACCAAAGCCATTGTCCCCACAGGTTCCTGAGATCTCCTGACAAATCCGGAAAGGAACCCTTGACCCAAGCAGCACCCCTTTACCCATCACCAGACACAACCTGGGCTCAGCCTGCCGGAGCCTGGGTCGCCTGCAGCACCCTGATCCTTTCTCCAGCAACTCAACAGATCCTAGCTACCCCCAAATCAGACACACCCTGATTGAAGCCTCACTTCATTCCCCCATTGAAGCCTCACTTCATTCCCCCACATTCTCCATCTAGAAAAACCCCAATCCTCAAAATGTCTACGCTGCTTCTTCAGGAGCTCTACTCATAACCCAATGATGCACAGACCCTGCATCTGTACCCACATCCACTGGGATCCAACTTGGGTATCTCCCCCTCTACCCAATTTTCAGAGCCCCACCCACCCCACATGGACCTGCTGCTTCTCTCCAAATTGAGGCTTTAGGATGAAATCAAGCTGAGGGAGGGAGGGAGGCTGGGCTCCGGGGCCCCCATTCTTCCCTGACGCACCCCACCACTGGCAAGTTTCCAAAGAAACTATTCCCTCCCTGCCCCCCAAATTCCCCCTGGGCTGCAGGGATCACTGACCTGGTGGGAAGAGGCAGGAGAGGAGACTGGGGTGGTGCTGGGATGGTGCAGGGGGACAGGGCCCCGGCAGCTGCATCTGTCTCCGCAGAGTGAGAAGGAGCAAGCGGCCTCAGCATCCCCCCCTCAGGCCTGGCCATCCATCGCCAGCTGGGAACCTGAGCTGCTCCCTCAGAAGGAAGGAGAGGGAACCAAGGAGATCCCAGAGCGCCCCCCCCCTGCAATTCCCACCCCCACCTCCCCACCCACAAGGATTTAAATGTACAGGGACTCCCAGGGTAGCGGCATGAAACAGACACACTCACTGTCACACGGACACAGGCGGATAGACACACGTACAATCTCTAGACCCCCACCGCCAAGGGGTGGGGCTTCCAAGGTTGAGAGAGAACATTTCCCTCCCCTTGCCATTCCAAACCCAGGCACAAATGAACCAGCTGCTGCCAAAATGCCAACCTCTGAGCCTACCCTCTGGATCACAGTCCCAGGAGCTGCCCACTGTGGGAAGTGCAGGGACCCTCAGCTGACAGACAAGGAGGCTGGCGTGTCACACAGAAATCAGGTGTTGGGAAAGGAAGTCTTTGAGAGACCCTGGAAACTGACACCTCTGCGTTCTTCAGCTTCAGCCCAGCTCCGGAACCTCGGGAGGAGGATGGGCAGACTGGGTAAAGCTTTGCCTATAACCCGGAGCTGGGCATACAGGGCTTGCAGTCAGGGAAGATGTGCCCAACACCCCCAGGCGCCCCAGATCCCCTTAGCACCCTTGCAGCTATTCAGCCATGAATTCCACAAATAGTCATTCTGCTAACACACATATTTCGGGATAGATACCACAGCGGTCAAGACAGATTCAGCCTCATTCCGAGGATCTAGCCAGGAGTCTTTCCCTCTACCCCAAACTTTTATAGGTTACAGAGGAGCAGGTTTCAGTGTAAAAATTTACCGAAGAAACCCAGGATCTTAGGTAATGGAGGGATGGAAAGACCCTAAGGCAGAGAAAAGCCCTGGAAAAGGGGTTCCTGATGTTTGGTTTCCTGGTTTTTAGAGTGTTAAAATAAAGGCACCCTAAGATAGGGCTGTTAACCCCTCCCTGAGAGATTGTCTAAACACCATAAACCTCCTACCTGCAGTCCCACAAGCGACACCCTCAGGCCGCACCAAAACGCAACAATGAACCCAGTCCGGAGACCCCTGGAACACAATTCCTACCCCATCAGTAGGACGCTAACCCCCGAGGCAAAACCAAGGGGGAACTTGCCCGAGGCTAAGGTATTTGGGAGGGAAGGAGGGTCAGTCGCCATCAGAATTATAATCAAGGCTGGGGGTGGGGTGGGGGTGAGGGTGGCGCTGGGCCCTCTTTGCGAAGTGCTGTAAAAAGATTTAAACTTTTGTTGTTCTTTTGGCTCAGACAGTAAATTGTTTGGCACTGGGGGCTGGGAAGAAGAGAAACCAACAGGGTAAAAATCAATGTTTTGGCAACTACTGAAAAGGGGTAACAAATGAATTGCTTCTCCTCCTCATTCTCCTGTCACTCTCCCTCTCCTCCCCAGCCCCCCCAAACACACCTCGGCCTGGTGGCTGCTGCCAAACAAACTTTGCAAATGAAAATTTCAACCAGGAAAACAGGCCCGGGGCCAAGTTCCATTCAAATAAGCAAATACCCCACACAATGGTCTGATTCATCCCTAGGCCTAGTTACACAAGCCTGGCTCAGGGCAGAGAAAATAAATATCAATATAAGTGTCCACACTGGGTGCTGGGGAGAGCAGTGAGGCAGGGGACATGAGGAGGGGTACTCAGGGAGCTCCTGGAATTGGGGAGCGGGAGGAAGTGGGCCAGGCAGGAAGAGAGCGCCTCCCACCCCAGTAACAGAAAGGTCACAAAACTACTCACCTTCAGCCAGCCACGTCTCCTGGAAGTGACTTAGGTCCTGGAAGAGATCTAAGGGGTGAATAATGGAATTGCAGAAGGTGAGGTGAGAGTGTACCCGGGTGCCCCCCCAGCCCCCCCAAGCCCCCACCCCCGTCCTTGGAAAGTAGGGGCAGAAAGACCACAGTCCTTCGTGAGCCTTTTCGGGGAAGGGGCAGGGGCTCCAGGATGGCCCTCCGGACGCGCGGGGCGAGGAGAGCCGCAGCTCGTCTCCGCAGCTCTTTACCTTCGGAGTCGGGGGGCGGCAGGGAGCCCGGGTCCATGAGCTTCCCTTGAGGGATCATCAGGGCTTCGCGCAGGCCCCCATTTCCGGGCGATTTCTGCGGGGAAGGGAAAGAGCCCCCGCGTCACCCTGCGGCCCCCGGGCTGGGGGCAGGGCTGGGGTCCGGGGAGTCGGTGGGACCGGGCGTCCCCGGACCCCGCCGGGGCCGCGGGGACTGGGCGGCGGGGCGGGCAGGGGCGGGGTGCGGGGCGGGGTGCGGGGCGGGGCGGGCGTGGAGGCCGGCGCGGCGCTCACGCTGCAGAAGGTGTAGGGCACTTGCTGGTCCAAGTATCCGCCTTTCATCCTCCGCTCCATCCGGCCGCTCCCTCCGGCCGCGCGGCCCGGGCCCCGCGCGGGGGCTGAGACCTGGGGTGGGGGGCAGGGAGCCGCGTCGGGGCACAGTCCAGCGAAGGCAGCGGGCGGGGGCGGGCGGGGGCGGCGGGGAGGGCCCGTCCCGAGGCCCTGGGTCCGACGGCAAAACTTCTCCGACTCACTCGGGCGCTGGGGAGGTTTCCGTCTGTCTGGCCGGGCGCCGGCACTACTCCCCTCCCACCAAGGAGGTCCCACCTGCTCCGGGGAGCGGGCTCGCTGTTTCGGCGGCTTTCTGCAGCCCGCTCAGCTCCAGCTCAGTTACATAAGACGCGCGCGTGTGTGTGCGTGTGTGTGTGTGTGTGTGTGTGTGTGTGCGCGCGCGCGCGCGCGTCTGCCTGTGTGTGTGCGCTCGCGCGCGGAGCGGCGGGCCGGGCGTGCACCCTCCGCGCGCCCACAGCTCCCTCGCCCCCTCCACCCTGAGCCCAGCGCCTCCCCCGACCCCCGCCCTTCAAGCCAGGGAGGCGGCGGGGAGTGTGCGAGCGTCGGAGGCCAGGCGGGGAGTCACAGACTCTCTCTGCGCCCCGCCTCCCGCAGCCTCACCTGAGGCCCGGGCGTCTGTGCTGGAGCCGCCGGGGGTCCGGAGCATGCCCCGGGGACTGCACCGAGCGCCGCGGGGCTGTGCGGGAGCTACACGGCCCCGGCCCGGGGTCCCCCGCGCTCTGGCTTGTTTTCCGGGCGCCTCCGACAGTTGCGAACCCGGGGGAGCCGCTGATTGGTGCATTTCCTGCGCCTCGGCCGCGGCTCTCTCCCCCCCGCACCCCCCCCCCCGCGCCACCCCATTCCCTTTGTTTCATTGACTTTTGTGAATGAAACCCCAGGGCCGGGCACGCCCGCCAATCCGGAGACTCGGCCGGCAGAGGCGTGGGGCGGAGTTTCCCAGCCTGGGAGCCAATCGGAATGCAGGGGCTGGCGCCCGGCTTCATTCACTGCTCGGGCTTTCATTCATAAAAAAAAAAAATCAGCACGGCCAGAGTTCATTCATAAAGAGCTGAGAAAAGGAGGGAAGCCGAGCTCCGGTGACTTCTCCACGGGGTTCGGCGCTGGCCCAGGGCTGGGCTCCGCGAGCTGCTCGGGCTGCGTGTGCACACGGCTCTGTGCATCTGTGTGTACGTGGGAGTGTGGCTCCGTCTGCTTGTGCGCCCTGGGGGGAGGCGGGCGGACTCGCGTGCCCAGAGGAACAATAAGAACTAGCTGTATATGAAGTGCTCCGCTTCCACATGCTCATTTCAGTCCCATAACCTGGCGAAGTGGTTCTATTGTTCCCTGTTACAGAGGCTGAGAACAAGGACTAGGAGAGAGACGGTGATTCTGATTCTGCTGGGGTTTACAACCCCTAATCTCCGATGTTCTCCTGTGCAGCCCTTTGAGGCCACAATTAAATGAACTAAAACTACGTGGCCATGATTGATACATAGTAGGTGCTCAACAAGTGTAAACTGGCACGGAATCCAGGTTTTCCTCAAGGGTTTGTGCTCAGCAGAGCTATTCTGTGACCCACTTTCTATCGATTGCAGCAGAAACGGGAGGCCCCAGCCTGGACCTCTGTAAGTGTAGTTCCTCTCAGCCATCTTTCCTCTTATCCTGAGAGCAAATGCAGGGTGTTAGGGATTCCCAAAGGATCTGAGGTTCTGGGTGCCAAAAGGCAGGTCTCTGTCACCTCATTGATCACCACTTCATTTAATAAACATTTATTGTGCCAGACAAGGTGCTGGGTGCCAGAAAGGCAGTTGTGACCTAGCCAGACACTTGATGGACCTGGGCTGCTTAGGCTGTAGTTGTGGGGGCACGCAGGACGTGGAGTCCCCCAAGTTATTTTTCTGAGATGGTTCTCAGGGACTATACTATATGCATTCCTGTAAGGAGAGCCTGATTTTGTTTCCTGCCTGTTTGTGATAAACTTCAGGTGATTAGGTACTGTTTTCAAAATTCATTGAACCTAACACCCGCACTTTATAGGTGAGGCAGTAGAGGTTCAGAGAAGAAAGAACATGCCAGCTCTTTCATCTAATCAAGATCAGAACTAGGACTAGAACACCAAACTGCTGGCATCTGTTTAGGACTCATTCCATGAGATCACCTTGGGCAAATGAAAATAAACTTCTTTGTTCAAATATCATTCAAGGTTCACGTCTATTGCCCTTCTCCTCAAGAAAGGCTGCCATAGAACCGGAATCAGTTCATTAAGGGCCCCACAACATTTTGCCTGTATCTCTGATATGCTGTCTTTCTTTCTGCCTCATGATCTAGTCCCCCCTATGGATGGAGAGCTCTTAGGTGCTGGAAGAAATATCACTTGCTTCTTTCTATAAGTCTTTCCCTAGCCTGCTTCATGCTGGTGAGGGTCCCATGAAATACTTGTTTAGTGAATTGGTACGATCCAGACTAAATTAATCGAGCAGGAACCCTGCCCAAGGAAAGAGAGACAAGCCCAAGCAAATCCCAGCTTTGGGCTGGATGGAACCAGTTTAGGGAAGAGCTTCTGTCTCCAGGCCAAGAGAAGTGGGGGAGAAGGGCAGAGGATTCCTCTGGGGAGGCAGCTCTATTAGGTCTCCATGACAATGAAGAAAATTGTGGTGGGTCTCAGAGCCAGCACTCTTGTTGGGGACTCTCTGGAGGTGCCCCTCTGGTTCTGGGTTCTTACATTTCTCTGGAGGGCCCCTGGTTCCCTGGAGAGTAAGTGCTCCCTCTCATTCCCCATCCAGACTCTGACTCAGCAGGTAGGCTGAGTGAGACAAAAGACCTCTGCTGCTTCCATCGCTGTTGTCACCTGGTCTCTGATTCAACACCCAGGCTCAGAGCAGTGACATCTCCAAGGAGAACATTCAAGCCTCTTCTAGGACAAGTCGGGGAGGTTGTCCTCTAGCAGGGCTGGAGGTTTCTGACGTGAAGTCAGATCACCATCACCAGCGTTTACAGAGCATGCCCCACACGCCATGCCTGGCTGCAAGGCTCGACCTGCATTAGCTCATGCAACCTTCGCAGCAGTCCTGTGAGGTAAGTGTGTTGACTGTTCCCATTTTACAAATGAGGAGACACATCTACCTCAAAGGCCTAAACAAGAGATAAAGGACACCCCCAGTGGACTCACAAGCACAGGCTACCGTTTGAGGGAGCACGCAACAGGCTGGACGGAGGACATGCCTGAGCCAGACAGTACATAATCCAGACACACCTGGATTAAGATGCTCACCATCCCCTCCTGGATACACAGTTTCTAGGAGGACTCACCCATCCTACTCCCTGATACCTCCCAAGGGACCTTTGGGGAGTTACATAGGTAAACTGGGTGGCAATTTCCCAGGAATCTAAGTTATAAAATGTAAATGTATGCTTCAGATATGCAAATGTTTATACAAAGGCACCCTGGGGCTTTCTCTGAGACTTGAAATTCTAGGGTACCTGGATAGACATGACAGCCCAAGAGCCATCTGAGAAGCAGGGTCTCTGCAGGTGGCTTCAGAGAGAAGCAGGGTCTCTGCAGGTGGCTTCAGAGAGTGACCCGAGATTGGCTCTCTGGGTTGGGTTAGCTAGGAACATTCTGTGGGTCACCTGACCAGCCTGACTGAGGGGCGGACAAAAGTGTCTTTAAGACCTGGATTCCTCAAAATCTAGAAGAAATGAGAGTTCCAGAGGCTTAAAGGATGAAACTCAGAAGGTAACCAAGGAGACCACTTGAGTAAGACCAGATGGAAAAGACAAACAGGGTCAAGTGGTATCTTTTGTCCCTTTAGTGACTCCCAGTGAACTATCACCAGGGAGAATGAATTAGAGAGCTGGGTCAGCAAGTGGGGGTGACGGAGCATGGGGTCTTCCCCATTGATTGGCCAGGGCCACCAAAAAAAAAAGAAAGTGCTACTCTTGGACTTCCTGTTGTCCTGTCTCATGGCCCCATTTTCGTATTGCTTCCTCTAAACAGGGGTCGTGCATGCAGGGTGCATGGATGTGCACCCCCCTGAAACTAATGGCTTGTGTTGGTGTGCGTGGGTGCAGTGGTGCAGTTTGCTGAAGAAGGGTTTGCGTAGCTTTCATCTGGGTCATTACTGAGCAGGTCCGTTGAGATGCATTTAAATGTTACACATTTTTTTTTTCCATCCTTTCAAACAAGGCTAAATAATGTGTCCTCCTTTCATCTGGCATATTGTCCCACGAGGAAGTTTGAGCCTAATGCTGGGGAAAGAGCTTGGGAGGCCAAGGAGAGATCAAGCATGTCTGGAGGAAAGTACTTTTTATTTTTAGAAGGTGCTGGTGACTTCAGCTTTTCATATTTGCTGGCTGCAGTAGCACAGGACTCCCCCCACCCCCACCCCAGAATGCAAAGCCTGTTTCTTCCCTTGTTCCTTTAGATTTCAATCCTCTGCTTTTCGACAGCCAGAGCAAGGATAGGTTGTCTTGGGAAAATGCAGGATATAAGATATCTTTTTTTCTTTTTGAAATTTTTCTTTTCCTGTCGAAGAGAGACAAACGGACAAATGTCAGTGGCCTAAAGGATTAGAATGGAATTGGTGCCAGTTGGGCAGAATCCAGGATGCTCCCCATTTTAATTAAGTGTGGACTTGAATTATGAGGGGCCACTGCTCCCATAGGGCGGGGCTTTGCTAAGGAAATGCAATTTCTTTCTTTAAAGATTAAATGCCGTTTATTCCACTTAGTCTCTCCTCAGTTCTCCGAGAGTATCTATATTTGTTCTTGTCACCAAGAATAATGGGCAACCAAGTGGATGCCCCAGCTCCCTAAGGCGGAGGCGGGAACCCACAGCTGACAGGAGCCTGGGAGTTTCCTGGGCTCTTTTCTTTTTTCGTTGGAGGAACAGGGGTAGTGGTGGGGATTCCTGGCTTTATTTCTGGCTGTTTTTTCCCCCTCCCAAAGAGAAACCCTTTGCTGGCTTCTGTCACCACCAGCCCCACTACCCCTGAGGTGCCCAGGACTTCCGTGTGACTTGGGGAGCTGCTCCTGTAGATTTATTTCTCCTGTTGATTCTCATCTATCCTGCTGGC